ATTTCAGACTTTTGTCAGATTACTGCAGCCATACTACAGCGATCATATTAATTATAAACTTCACAACGGGCTATATTATACTAATTATTTAAGTTTATATAACTTTATTATGTATGCATATTTACGTTATAGTGAATTTCAAATGCGTCGTCAAACTTATTCAAATATTTTTGAAGAAACTTTGACGAGAGTACTTTATATTCTCACTTATCTTACTCAAGTTTTAAGACTATGAATTCATACATTGTACATATGGAATTTTTATTTGTTTAATTTAGCCTTTGTAATTGTAAAGCATTTTTGCGGTTTGAAATATCGGTATAGGGTGAAAAGTTATATAAGTATTTTATGCTTCTCAGACATTCGATTACTTTGAACATTTTCAAACTTTGTTATCTCACAAAATCTTTTAATGCATTCAAAATTACTTTATTTTACCCCTATCCTTGCTTTATATACCAATTTCTTTTAGAATTACTGAATAATTTATGATTAAGTTTTTTATTTAAAATGCAAAAAATATAAAGAAAGGTCATATTGAACAGGATTATATGATATAAGCTTCTGAACTTTTAGTATTACAAAGCATAACCTTATAGCAATCTCAACTCACTACCTTCAAACTAGGATATAATAAACATTTCACCCTCTACAAATACATAACATTACCAAATGATTTTTTAAAAGAAAACGTTAACTTTTTTTTTGTAGATGTTTATAAGGCAAGTTTGACCGTAAGCAAAAAATAAGACTTTTTTGGCGATAGGTAATGAATCAATTTTCCTCTTTTTATGCTGCGTTCTTTGTTTTTTTGTACTTTCTCCAAAGTAGGTAATTAAAATGTAATTAATTAAAAATCAATTCAGTCATTGCTTTTCATCATTATGCATCATTAATTGTTTTTTCTTAATACTCTTGTTATAGCATCATCATATATAATATGCTTTGGTCATATTAAACTTGCTTATTTATTTATTTATTAATAAGTAAGCCATATTATACGATATATATATATATATATATATATATATATATATATATATATACATTGTGTTGTTTATTGAACTAAATTATATAATGTCATCTGCCAAACATGTATTGTATCTTATATTGTTTTAATTTCTGGCACATATCATCTTGTTTTCCGCAATAATATTGAAGATTTAACATTTTTTAATTCATAATCATGAATATGGATATTATATTCTAATATTGTCTAGACTCGCTTAAAGTAAATTCAAGTTTCAAGTGAATCGGCATTTTTGGCAGATGACTGTTTTTTCATGTATCAAAAATGTTTTCAATGTCAATGATATGTTGTTTTTTTGCAAGTTTTTCCATTTATTTCTACAATATTACTATATTTTTCTAATCACATACATCCTAAAAAAATTTTTAGCAAACTTTATCAAAATATGAATAATGGTTTAGGAGGAGTATATTTACATACATCATTACAGAAGAATTTCATATATAATATATATTTGTATATATACATATATATATATATATATATATATATATATATATATAAGAGAGAAAAAAGAGAGGCTTTATATAGGTATAATGTGCAATATCTACTGAACACAAATTTTCAATTTTGTTGACTATTTATTAAAAGACAATTAAAAGAAATGGACCGTGCATTTTAAGATTTACAGATATAAGTTTTAAGTGATTTTTAATAGTTGGCGTGTTCGGTTTCGAATCCGTAGGTAATATATCAGAGTGCGTTTTCACCACTTCGTCGGGCCCTTTGTTTTGTCCATTCATATCTATTACAGTGGTTCGTGCTTCTGTCATTCCGTTCATTTGTTCGGCCGGATATTTGTGTTATACGGCGGAAAGCGAAACCTTTTTCGGCTAAGCTCGCTTTGTCTGGCCGGCAGATTTATGCCGGACCAAAGATAATGAATTATCTGTTTATTGCCGGCCTACAAGATTGGTATTCTACGTAACGCAGAAGTACCTTTCAGCTCCTTTTAAAAATACAACTATGCTAACGTAAAGCTCAAAAAGCGTTTTTTTCCCTTAATGGAATAAATAAAGTTATTGCTATCCGCATTTTATTATTTATAGTTGTATTGTATTGCGTTTTTTATCTCAATTTAGACTTTTCTATGCTAACTTAAAGTACAATGACTTATATATGAATCACTCAATAGTAGACCCGAAAAGTACAAGGCGTCTCCACCGTATCATATTTAAGTTGAAAGACAAGAACTTATCAACTGAAAAAAAATAATTTGACATTAAACACGCTAAAAGCATCAATGTATAACAACTAAAAATATAAAAGTGATTATGAATATATATATATATATATATATATATATATTATATAGCTATATATAAACTACAGAAATATACGCCAACACACATATTTTCCCATTTTTTCAATTTTGAGGATGTTCAATGACAAATAATTAGGATAATTTATTATAATCCGGCAAATAAAGAGAGCAAGAGATTGCAACCTTGGTAATAACTCAATTAGGAAACTTACAGAAACTTACTACCAATATTCTACCAGTTCACATAGGCTTTATTAGAAGAAAATGTATGAAATTCAGCACTATAAATGTCGCATATGTACCTGAATAAAAAACTATTTTTTAAACATAATGAGAATTAATTTATAAGATTATATTGTGAAGACCAAAGTTATATTATGTAATTTCTGTGTGACCAAATTCGTTATAATCCAGAAAAATAAAAGTTCAAGAGAACATCGGTTTTCCTGTTTCAATGGAAACTTGGTAGTCATGCAAAATAGGAAACTTACAGAAACTTGTTACCAATATTTTAAGAATATATGTGAAATATTTGTGAAATATTCTTAGAAGGAAATGTGTCAATTCAACATTATAAATATCTCATATGTATCTGAATAAAAAATCTATTTTTTGAACATGATGAGAATTAACTTATAATATTATATTGTTAAGAATATAACAGCTAATAAAGAATGCAACATTTAAGTGTTTGATTACAGAAGACGTCACTGTCATATGTTACGTACATGATAAGTGAAGCTCAAACACAATGAACTTTCATGCTGTTCATCATTCAGTTAAATAACTATGTTATAACTTTGACGCAGTTTGTTCAGGAAGTCAAGTGTGCAAGTGTGAACCCAACCCCTATTTAAATTCATTCAGGACGGAAAATTTTGGATACAAAATGGAAATGTATGGAGTAAATCTATAATCACAGAGAAGTTGAAAATTTTGTTTGACTCTATCATTTTTGAATATGATTATTTTCGATTAATTTGGATTCTCCTGAATTTTATTATTTCTTATTCTTTGAAATTATATGCAACTGTAAGTTTAAGATTATAAATATTTGTATACGCTCGACCTATTATGATTTAAAAATATATAGTTACGTACTTACGTATATATTAGTATTTAATGTGTAGAAAAATGATTAATAAAGTTAAGTTGTAAGAACTTTTATATGCATACGTATAAGCGACAGAATAAACAAGTACCGAGATTTAGTAGCATTAACCATTTTCTATAACCTGTAATATTTCAGGAAATTTATCAATATCCAGAATATTATATTATCATCATACAAAGTTTTACATATTGAGAATAAAAAAAAAATTGCACTTAACTTTTAAGTAAGAAGAAACGGATTATCTCATCGTGTCGCAATTTAATCAATACGAGTCTTTACCGTGTTTCATGAAATGTGTGTTAAATTTTTGAAATTACTGTTTGGGGAAAACATTGGTGAAAGGTAAATTTTTGGCTCACATATACAATTAGACATACAAATACACCTGATTTTGCTAATTTTGGGTTTAAACTATTCAAAATGACGTGCAACAAACATAACATGAGTAAATTTGATTTTCTGCTTAAAATATAAACTTTTCCCTCGGTAAGTAAATAAATAATAAAATTAAAGTGCAAACACAATTAAATCATTCCGCAAATTATAATTTTAATTGATACCCATGGATAACATTCGGCCTCATTCGGTGTTGACCACTTACCCATTAATATTACAATCACGGAACGGAAATTGCTTTATTCAGCTATGATGTATATGATATATATGATATATATATATATATATATATATATATATACATACAAAGATTTATTGTTCGTATATACAAAAAATATGGTTTTAAAATATTTTTGTGTATTGTATTTTTTGCACAACAATTAAATATGCAGGAGAACCAGGGCGTCGATATTTTATGCCTAATAAATATTTTATTCTGCTATTAAAATGCAACCATTAATGAAAAACGTACTTTAGGAAAAAATGATGCAGACTATATATAATATTATTTCTGAAAATTATTTGAAACATCTGTGTAAAAATATATATTCAAATTGACACACTCTATTTGGTTGTATTCAAAAATCATACCTCATAATTTATTATTAATTATGAAATCTGTAATGTTCATTTTAATTCAATTATTCAAAATATTTTAGACTATTTTATAATGATTGTTAAAACCTATCATTTCAATTTCAGACTTCTCAAAAGTCTTCACAATTTTTAGTTGGATTTTACACATTTTATTTTTGATAAGATACAGCATTTACTGCTCTAAAACATTTTCTATATCGAACAACAAACATCAAACAATATTGTGTTCAAATAATACAACGCAACATATTATCAGGATTTATTTTAATACAATCCAAAACATATTTCCATACAACAAAAATATAAATCATGTTAGCAATGTATTACACATTTAGAACCCTTTGATAAAATTGATCATCTTTTATTTTTTTGTCACTTATTTTTTTGTAAAATTTTATTCTAGATTTTTTTTAAATTCAAATATATTAGTTTTTTGTATGTTTTTTGTAATTTTGACTAAAATGATAATTTGTAAAATTAATTAACATATATATCGTGCGTGTTCCATAGTGCAAAAATATTTTTTCCGATTTCTCTCTGAATCCAAGATCTTCCTCCATCTGATATTTTCACTTGCGGTATTCACACTTACTATTAAAATGGGAGACAAAAACCATTTTGAGCAAAATGGAAATAACTCGAGGAAGAAGTCAAAAGATTCGGATTCAAATACTATGGACGAAAAAAATGACCAAGGTGCTCCTGTAAAAGGATACAAAAACATTAAACCAGATAAAGATTTTAAAGGTATTAAACAAAATAGCCTAAAATGGTTTAAAAAATCTAAAATTATTATAGAAATTTACCTGTCATTTTGGATTTTGATAAAAATAACTATCACCATGAATTATCATCGCGAAAACCATTATACTACGACTACAAACAAATATTATTACAAACTTGCAGTATCCAAATGTTTCATAAAAAATCGTGCAAATTTAGATATCCAAATATACAAATTTCAGTATAAAATTATATTTGTTATCTAACCAATAATTCAAAAGCATTCGTTTGTTTTTTTCTATACATTATACGATTACTTTTGAAAATATATACGAAAATATGTTGGCAATATCTATCAAAAGCATTTAATAAGAATTGTTAAATGATAAAATACTTAATAGCTTCAGAAAAAAAATAAGTAAAACTAGTTGTGTACGGCATCGTGCCTTGTGGCAAATTGCTGGAACTTTTCGTACCGTAACAAAATGTTTGAGGAATATTAAATTTTTTGAAATAGATTATTATAAATATATATATAACATTGTCTAATTTTTATAAAAATCGTATAAACTTAATTACAAAGTAAAAATTATTTATTTAAAATACATAAATAAGCTTTATAATAACTTCGGTCAGAACTAAAATTAAAATCTGAGTTATTTTCAATATAAAAAAATTAAATTCGCAATAACAATTTTTCCCCAAAGCAATTATTTTGTCAAAATAAACAGAAAGTTTTTTGTACCATTCAAATCAGACGCTTAGTTCTCTCAAAACTGCCATTTTTTTTCACAATTAGCTCGTTATCTCCAAAGCGGCTTGACTTGCCTTTGCCTAAAACTAAACTTCTCCCAAAACATTACAAATTAAATGTGTTTTAGATAATTCAATTTGGATACTCCGTTTTCTCAAAACCTCGATTTCTATTTTGTGCACACTTTGCTCTATTTCTCCGTAACGGCTGGACCCGCCTTTGCCAAACACTAATCAGCACCTTTTCCTATCAATAGGAATCGAATGTTTTTTTGAACCATTCAAATCGATTGATTCGTACGCCCAAAAACGTAAACAAAAAAATGCGGACACACAAAATACACACACACACATACATTTTTTCTGAGATTCTAAACGTGAAGATATGCAAAAAATTCATTATCGATTCTTATACCATTACTATAACTTACCCTAAGGCAAATTAAAAATTAAATTCTACAATCAGTTCAAATACCAAATACGAATATTTTCTGTAAGCACAAGCTCTTATAAAAAATTAAAACTTTACTGGACATTTTCTTTTTAGAAAAAGAGTATACAATTTACTATCTCGAGATAAACTCAATCACAATTTAATTTAGTATAAGAGGTTATTGTTTTAGTAAAACTATTTTTTATATATATTTTCGATAAAATGAAAATTTATCTTTGTAAACAGATATGTGTAGAACAACAATGTACTGAAATTATCTCGTTCAAGAAACCTTAATAAAAATCTGCTCGTACTCTCATAGAATTATGTTATATTTTGATTGACTTTTTATATAATAATAATGAAAGCAAAATAAATAGCAATTTAGGAAGTCAAGTCGTACTTATAGTAATAATTTTGATTATATAAATAATGGGCCAATTCTATCATAAAAGAAACTATGTTTATGGCAAATCTATGTTACGATACTTTGTTCATATAAAATGATACTAAACACTATCCAAATGCTGTACAGTTGGTAGTTTTAGATTTAAAATCAAACCTAGAAAACGCAAAAACGTCAAAAAAAGAATTTATCATAAGTGCATCCTTCTGATGTATCATAATAACACATGCAAGAAGTTAGATTTATTTAGATAAATTTTATTACTTAGTTATAGCAAGGCTACGTTATATTTTCATTTTTTCATATCCTTGAATTATATCATTATATTCCAAAAATATTTCTTAATTTGCTTGTGACATAAACTTGACGTAACATTGATGCAGAAAATAGGCTGGTGAATTATTGAACCAATTAAAATCTGTAAAGAATTTTTACAACCTAGTTGGAAAGAACTTTTGATTAGCAAATAAATTGTATATGTTGTTCAAGCTTTGATATTAAAAGACGTGGAAACTATTTCATCAATTTAGTTTGATCAAATATTTGTCGTGAGATTAAATTTAATAGATTCAATAGTTGTAATTGAATTGTTACTGCATCTATTATACTTTAGTGGTGTACAAGGCCTTTGTGAAATTCCTAGCATGCAAATTCTCCGTTTAGACGAACTCAGTTCGAAGTTATCCAGAACTTCGGTGTAATTAAATAATTTAAATCTTATCATTGTTATGATCTTTCTCTGTCAGCAGCAGTTTGATTGTGTCACACGATGTTGCAAAGGCACACATTGAATAAGTTACATTGCTTTTCTTTGTTGTTATAGAACAATGAATCAGAAACTTTTTAATTCGAATTATGCATAATTAAAATCGCTTTGGCATTTAGATTTTGAGATGACAATTTATGGAGACCTTGACGTCCTTAAGTGGCAATTATTTCAGCTGATGTGAGTAACAAACATTGTTGTCTGAATGCCTCCTATGAAACGTACATTGTAAAACTACCTATATGTTATATACCATTTATTAATTAAAAAAATAAATAGTTTCAACTTCCTATAGGGTAAGTTAATTTTCAACTTCCTATAGGGTAAGTTATAGTAATGGCGCGAAAAACAAATATGATTTTTTTTTTGCATATCTTCACGTTTTAGAGATTTCTGAATATTTTGACTCACCTCAGAAAAAATTCATGTACGTGTATATGTTTTTTATCTGTCGGCAATTTTTTGTCGAGCGTACCGATAAACCGATTTAAAAATTTCAAAAAGATTCGATTCCTATTGATAGGGGAGCCTAATTAGTTTTTGGCAAAGGTAGGTCCAGCCGTTACGGAGGTACGGTGCAAAGAGCGCAGAAACTTGAAATCGAGTTTTTGAGGGAACGGAGCATCCGATTTGAATGATTCAAGAACCTTTTGCTTGTGTTGATAAAACAATTGCTTTTGGAAACAAATTGTATATCTAAAATAATTCAAATTCCAATTTTAATTCTGGCTAAAGTTCTAAAGCTCACTTATGTACTTTGAATAAATAATTTTAACTTTGTAATTCAATTTATATAATTCTTATAAATATTAGACAATATTACAGTATTTGAAATAATCTATTTAAAAATATTTGATATTCCTCGAATATTTTACTCCGTTACGGGAAGTTCCAGCAATTTGCTTTAAGGCACAATGTCACACACCACTAGTTTAATTTTTTGTATGTAGTAAATTTAAATTACGATGTTTACAATTAATTCACATATTAATACTATAAATTATTATTAGTAATACAAACTTACAAAAAAAATTACAATTATACTGGTGAGAATTCATAATATCCAAGTAGCTCAAGATCTCAGTAGCATTTTGACTTAAGGCAATAAAAATTAATACTGGCTACAATAAATAATAAATAAGATTTAGCTATTTAGATAAAATGTTCAACTAATTATTTCAAAAATGAAATTTGCTCTTTTACTGAAAAACTATCAATACGATTACCAATTTATGTCTTTCAAGCGTACCTATATATCTGCAATTGTATAAATTATGTTATTTTGACTAACACGTTACATTTCTTCTATTTCAAGTTTTAAGAAGATATTTTACTTAAGCGTGGGTGTCAACTGTAATCGGTAGTTGCCGACATACAGAATATACGTAATCTCGACATTGATTCTGACGAATCATTTAACTTTTTGGCGAAACACTAGGCTTTGATGATTTTTTATAATTCATCCGCTTATCGTTGGTCTATATTATTTTTGTATGTTATTTCAGACTTCATCAAAATCGACTACAAAAATTCAACATATAAGTACAAAGAAATGTATTGGCAGATCTTTTTCATTTTTATTAATTTTTAAAATCCATTTAGAATTGTGGGCTAAATGGCCATAAATTTTGCATTTTATTTTTACTAATTATAAAAAAATTCATTCATAGCTTTTAAATGTTTGAAATTATCAGGCCAGCTGTTTCAAAAAAAAACGTTTACAAAAGATCAAAAATCGGCTCATATGTACACACATATACACGTGGATACATTTGTAGATCAGAATGGCTTGAAACATTAGCAAATCGGCGGATTTTCTGGCAAAAACATGAACTTTTTCCTACTCATGTTATTTCTATTGGGCCGGCGGGCCACCGTAGCCCGACATCAGGCAGCTTTGATGTCAAATTTCCACTTGGGGTTATAGATGACAATATAATTCTAAGTGGAAATCGTCCTTCGTGGACATAGCTGCAACATCCAATCACATGTTAACTATTAGACGTACGAGCTAATATCAAAAATATCCCACACATAAGAGAATGGTAAATCGATGAATTGCCTCTCATGAAATAAATAGTCCTAAGTCGTCAACCAACAGCTTATAGAACATATAGGAGTTCTGATTGCTGTTCAAACAATAATAAAAAAAACATGTTATTACTATTGCTCATCTTTTTAAAATTGATCCAGTTACCTGGACAATACTAAATTTGTATATTTTACTATACTAAGACATCTCCACAATTTACTGACTTCTTCCAGGTTTCAATATAATCGATGATAAAAATACCAGGCGCGTGATTGCACCATACCTCCATGTGGTTCGGCGTGGTGATGTGGCGGTCACCGAGAAGAAAGGCGAAGTTGTGGGAAAAGCGTTCCAAAAGCATATCGATAGAAAACCAAGTGTCTTGATCAAAGATTTATCGAAATTCCTATCGGATACAGTGGATATACCATCTCTACTTCACGAGACATCGGACGTGCTCAAACACGTAACAAACAGCACAGGTGAGAAGCAGTGGGATAATCCAGTAAATTTTCGAAACGTGCCATTTGTTTGAAATATGTAATATTAAAACTTGTGTCTTGATATAGTCCTGATATACTATGAAGTAATTAGTTGTCTTTTTGCTTTGCCTCTAAATTCAAATTTAAATCTGTAAATTTGATATTATTGTGCATTTGTGCAGAGGATTAAATATTGAAAATCTTTCCTTCTAGTTCACTATAATATAATTAATTTTTAACCTGATACAATTATCCTGATACAAGCATAATATATTAATTAGATATTGAGCGAAAATCTTTTTAGGCACATTGTCGATGATATTGACCTTGCGAATAGAGAGCCGTTAATCACTTCATCGTTTCATTTTAGGCGTCGTTTTGTATATGGTGGATGAATACAATAATGAGATCTATCAGAGCCCTAAATACACTGTTAACTATGGCAGACACAAGGTGTCCTGGAAGATAGGTAAGTGGATAAAGGCTTTACATTTCTTTACTTTACGTTTAGTGCTTGTATTTCATTAACAATGGTGTTGCAATCATGCGCTACTGAAAACTAATTTGTAACTCAAATAATTTAAATTAGATTTTATTTTAAATTTAAAAATGGTCAGTATTTAAATAATTTTTAAGAAATTCTTAGTCAACCCATAAAATAAACAATTTTAAAATCTCTCAAATCAACCAGTTAACTGTGGTGCTCACATCAAACAGTGCGCACAGTTTTGTGTGGTCAAAATTGAGCTTATGATGAGTATATTCGTCAGTCACATGTTAATATGCACTGATAATATAACGGATGAAATTGATGGTAGTATTTTACGAACTAGAAAAACGTTATTATAATATTTTAATTCTTTGTTAACATTTGCATATATTACACACGTATTAATCTAAAAAGATAATGAATTTAATAAAATGCCATACATGTGAAAGCAAGGAAGTAGGAATAGTGTTTGTTAAAAAGCAGAAATTATTTTTAATACAAACAGAAGAAAATGTTAGGAAGATAGCCAAATCTTAGTATTTTTGGTGAAATACATTGTTTCCACATTTTGAAAGCGAATTTGGACATATGGTATACAACTATGGAGATCAGCTTCCGAATCACACGTGTTAAAAATTCAAAGATGCCAAACTAAATTACTAACATAAATTTTGAATTCTCCAAAGTATGTACAATATAGGTTAATACATAAAAACGACCGCAATAAACAATTAAATACGAACACATTCATACACTTGCTACTTGACCTGCGATACTAAGAAAGAGGAAGAGCGAAAGAGACTTTGACCATTTAAAAAATAAGTATATATTCAGTGCAAAAATTATAATATTCTATATCCTCCCTCCCACGAAGTAATGCCTAATGGCGGTTTCCGTGGGCATCAGAGGCAAGGAAGAAGCGGAGAATTTAGTTGGTATTGTACCCAGCCAGTATTGAGTCCAACATACCCTAACAAAAGTCCAGCCTGGGATGCACAAATGCATTTCTTTTGCTATACAAAAAAACATTCATACAAATATAAAAGCCACCTTGAGGATAATCCAAACACTCTTGCCGGAGAACTACGCCACAAGAATGAAAATGAAATTCATGTCAATGTTAGGCAGGAATTCGAATACTGAAAACAAACTTCTATTATATAAAACAATAATTATTCTAATATTTTACAATTGCGGGCATCCAAATCTGGACATATGGAATTGAACTATGGGCGTGCGCAAGTATTTCACAAATATAAATAATACAAAGAGCGCAATCTAACATTTTAAGATCATTGTAAACGCATCCTGGTGTTTTACGAATGACACTCCACATAAAGACTTGAAAGTAAAAACTATTAATAAAGTAATGAAAGCAAGATGCAAAAAATACCACGAAAAATGATCACCCAAACAAATATTTGAAAGAATTAAGTGAGGAATCTTCTAATCATTAAGAGATAGGATAGTACTATAGTACTCATAGGAAGTAAACTTTTTAAATGTTTTTTCTCTCACTATATTGATTTAAAGAATCATATTATTTTATCGGCAATAAAAACAGAAAAAAGTTAATGTTTATAAGTTAATTTTCAAAACCTCTGACAATGGTTTGAAGATTTTGTATTTATAAAGTCATCTCTTTTTAGTACTACAGTTACACTTGCTGTCTTGAATAAGTGTAAAAGTTACTATAAAATAAAAAAATGGAAAAGTCATGCAACTTGCTTTAAGGTAAAATTTGTCTCACAATTACTTATTTCATACAGTCATAACCTCAAAATATTTTAAAAGTTATAACATTTCAGAATGTACTGTGTTTCTTTCTTAAAAAAATAAATAAATTCAAATGATCAATGATTTATACACATGCGACTATACTCATCAAATCACAAAACTTTACCACTTCTCCATGACCAAAATATTTGTCAATTACAGTTAGCTGGTTTAAAGTTTGCTTGGGTATTTTGGCTATTTTATCAAAAGTTATACTAGAGTTAATTCCACATAAAATATATACCTAAACGTCTCGTTCTTGGCGCATTTAACGTCGTACTTTTAGTACTATTAGGAAACTGGTGTTAAATAAACCGGAAACTTGCGCACTTTAATCTTTTTAAAAGCCAGCAGTAAATAACGCAAATGGTTTTCGCTCGCCAACTGACAATACAGTGTATCCAGCTCGGATCATACATATGAGAGGAACCGAGGAACAGAATACAGAGGAACATAACCTACAAACGGCGATCTCGACAAAGCCGGAGTTCGCTAACAACGCAACGATCCTTGTCATAATCCTCGAATCCTATTTTAGTCTCAAAATCCCTTTATCTCAAATAGGCAAGACCTATCCATGGTAAATAATAAGAATAAGCATTGAAACAGACAAAGACATAAATGAAGAAAAAGCTTGTATAAAAAGGAAGGAATAGACTAATTTTATTGAGCAATAACACACAGGAATAACAATGCCTTCTATTTTTATATTGACCAACCAGAATACGATTCAGTACCTCCTGTCGAGTTTTATCTTGAAATACTTTGTAGTATATTGTATTTATTTCATTCTAATCGAATACAAACAATTTGATTTTAATCTTTACTCTTATTGTGTATTTGCTAATAGCCATGTTAGTTAATAACTTCCCGCAAATGAAATTTTCTTTATATCTTTACATTTAAATGGTTTCTGAATATTTTGGCATACCTTAGAAAAAATGGATTTTTGTGTGTATGTGTGTGTGTGCGGATACAAATTTTTGTCGACAATTTCTGGAACACCGATCAGCCGATTTGAATAATTAAAAAAACATTCGATTCGTATTGATAAGGAGACGTGCTGATTAGTTTTCGGTGCAGGCACGCCTAACCGTTCCAAAGATACGGGGCAAAATTGGCGAAAACGGTAACTCAGTTATTAAGAGAACGGAGTGTCCCATTTTAATAATTCAAAAAACATTTTACTTATATTGATAAGATAAAGAACTGATTATATTTTTGGGAAGGCAAGTCCAGCGGTTATAGACTCTCAATAAAAATAAGTTAAAATAATGTCATTTGGTGGTGAAAAATGTACATGTACATCAAATTATTTTATAGAGATTTTAATAATATTTACACATTTTGTGTAATTTTTTTTTGGATTCCCTACCAAAATTTTTAATTACGGTACGGAAAGTTCCAGCAATTTGCCTTAAGACACGATGCCATGCACCCAACTAATTTTTCAATATATTTTACTGTTGCGGGAAAAACAGATTCTGAAAAGGTTTTTGAGAAAATATATTGTGAAAACTGAACCAACTCTATCACAACAAATAACTATGACTAGTGTAAGTAAAACTCCTAGTTTATTCACATTGTAGAAATACGTTTTTTTTAACTGTATTTCAAAATTTTGTCATCTGGTCCTTTGTACTCCATAGGCGTGGTAAAATTCGACAGCTAGTGCAACAGGCTCAATGTCTTATTTTCAATTTTAAAGGGATTTTACGAAATAATAACTACATTATTCAACCAATGCCAAATATAAAGTCATAGGTATATTTTTTACATCGATAACACTGTACATAAGCTTGATCTGGTATTTTGCCAGAAATAATCATCAGCAGAGTTGGAATAACTATTTATTTAACTTATAATCAATTTTTTGTAAAATTGCTATATTTACTGAACTTATTTTTCAATTACTAATTTTTAATGTATTTATTGCGCTTGTTCTAACAGTTTTTTTATAATGATTATATTTATACAAAATTCTTTATTCTTGTTGTAACAGTTTTTTTTACTCATATCTTAAAAGCTGTTGAGTGAAACTTCTCTTCACCTCGTTTTTTTGAAATGTTTATTCCATCTATATTTGATGATTTCATTATTAAAATTTATCTAATAGGGCTGACTTATTATTGTTGCAGCAATGCAAAGAAAGGGCTATTTTCACTTGGAAACGATTTCCAAGTAAAAATCGTTGTAAAGGCAAGCAGTAACGATACAAAAATTGACAATATTATTTCTGATAAATTATTCTTTGCTTATTTTTAAGAAATTTAGTGTGTTTCTATAGTTAGTTATTTTACTCAAAAATTAACGTAAAATATAATTAGTACAAATAAAAGATACGGTACATCCTGTAATAAATTTTCTCACATCTTACAAACTATATATTCCATACAATTTTCTTCACATGTATCTGTATGAGCTTCACTACATACCGGACGATACTTTTTTTGCATAAAACTAGCCTCAATGTTTTGTTTCAACTAACCTTTGGTATGATTTATTTCACATTAATCAAAATAACTATTTAAACAATTTAGCAATAACAGAAATTGATACACAAAATCAAAAATTGATAAATTTTAAACGAAATAAGATATATAAAATTCCACACTAATTGCTAAAAATAACAACAATCAAAATTTTATTGTAATAAAATTTTATGTTACCCCTCTAAAATAAAGCAGTTGCACACTTTTGTATGTTGCGTCAAACCTGTGGGACGGTAGCTATGAAAACAAGATGCGGGGAAAAGTATTTCAATATCATTTAAGGGGTCTTCTTCTTTGTTGGTTTAAAAAAATCGTTTTTTTATTTTGCAAATGAGAAACTTGATGGCCCTGTCATTGCAGATTGTAAGTATCTTTTATTCCAAGATTCATGTATTAATATCTTTGAATGCAATTTCCTGAAAGTTGTGTTGTTGCAACTGGTTGACATAATATCTCGATCAGTAACTCATCAAATGTGATACATAAAAATTTGTGAAAAACATATCGCTATGTGTAAAAACATGTCATTTTCACTACTCATTTTTTGTAGGGGACATTTCTAGGTCAAATTACGGTGAAATGAGAGAAAGTAAAACTGTAGTAAAATTTATGTTTAAAGCATATAAATAAACAAGTTAAATGCAAAAAACCGCACCTTGATTGCATTATTTGTTTTCCTACGATTCATTCTCAAAAAACAGTATCAACTTAAGTTTCCCTAGAAAAACGCATGTTACTACTTACCCCTGTTACAATAAGCCTGTGTATGATGTATCTGTATAATAATATCGGCAATAATGTTATCGGTGTGCGTGCATGCGGTTTACGATATGTAATGCACGTTATCACGCCATAAATAACTACATACGAATTTAGTATCTATGCACAAATATGCAACGTCACCATTAATTTCCAGGCACCGGACGCACAATAGCGGCCTATGTGGCAGCCAAAAAGGAATTTGTAAAAGTAGATGATGTACTGGCCGACGAACGGTTCCCGGAGGGCGTGGGGTGGAAAGGACCGACCATCAAGGCCGTCATGTGCGTGCCCGTCATAACGCCGGACGCCGATTGTTTTGCGGTTATAGAGCTTTATAAAGAAACGGAAGAACCTTTTACTCAGGTGAATACGTAATGTGTTTTGAAAGAAGTCACTATCTTTCGTTCTAGGAACACAGATTGCATAAATTTTACGTGATGTATAACCTGTCTTAAATTTACTCTAGTCATTTCAATATAACTTTACTACATACAAATAATACCTATAAACTACAATTTGCAATACATACTTATAAACACCCATATAAAATTATTGTGCTAAATTTGAGTTTATCAATAGTTGTCCCAAGTGATATATCAATTCAGCTCAGATTTTCAAAGAAATAGTAATGATAAATAAATGCCTTCAATATTGTCTTTTGGAATCTTCTTAAAACTGGTGTCTGGTTTTATTGCGCTGTCTATAAAATATATATTTAGATAGAAATACATAGGTTGAAGAAAATTATTTTGAATGACTTGGGGGCCTAAAGCTCAAATTTGACTTTCACAAATTAAACAATTAACTATCGAATTATGTGCTGTAAAATCCACAGTCAATTTATAATCACAAAAATGTAAATTTTTACTACTTTTTTTAAATTTCTCATGTGTCACTTTTTACCAAATAGACCAGGTAAAGAGGTACAACCGGGTGCAAACAAGTCCAGTGTCTTATTTTTAATTTTCAAAGGATTTTAAGAAATAATAGCTACATTTTTTACCAGTGTATATTACCAATTTTATGGTAACGTTTTTTACAAAGGTCACTTTGTATATAACCTTGATCTGGTATTTTGTCAGAAATATCATGAGCAGAGTTGGAATAACTATAATTAAATTTATTTTTGAAAAATTGATTTATCCAATTCTTTTTTTATTTACTATTTTCTTATTGTTTACGCATTTGCCAGAGTAAAGGATTAGTCGTCCTTTTTTACCCTATCCACATATGAGCTTCTTATAGAGATAAAATAAAAAAAAGTAGAATGAAAACATAACAATTCATAACTTAGGTTAGTCAGGTTAGGTTAGTTAGTTCAACAACTTAGGTTAGTTAGTCGAATAAAAACATAAGAATTCACCCTATAAAACAAATAAATAATCTATCTGACAGAACTCAAAATAAAAAAAAAACTACCAGTAAAATTTTTGTTATGAATATTGATACATGGTTGTGTGTCTCCTAATTTATGAATTTGATTATCCATTATAAGTAGTAAGTACCCATTGATTATAAGAGACAAATGCTATAACATAAAGGAATAACAGTGCCTTCTACTTTTATATTATCCAAAAAGAACATAATTCAGTGCTTCATTGCTTTATTTCGAAATACTTTGTGTAAATGAATAATATAAAATTGGTCATATTCCTTACATATTATTAACATTTTTATTATTTACCCCATTTAATAAATTAATTTTCATAAGTTTCTTTACAAATTTTCTCTTAGTTCGTTCATGACAAACAAAGTTTGCAGAAATACAGATAACATATTATAATTTTCATAACTAACATGTACAATTTAAACAAAATGTTCCTACTTTATCGTCGATCTATCTACATTAATTTTTATTTTTGAACTATTTGTTGCTTCAGCTTATTTTCCTAATTTTGTAATGTGTTCTTTTGACTAGGTTTTTTTTTCAATTTCAATATTGGTACTTCAAATTTATTTTTTGACACCTTTATTAAATGAATTTTCATAAGTTTCTTTACAAATTTTCTTTTAATTCATTCATGACTTGCAATTCTCGCAGAAATACAGATAGGAACATAATTTTCATAACAAACATATATAACTTAAACAAAGTGTTCTAACTTTATCGTCGATCTATCTACATTATTTTTTATTTTTGAACTGTTTGTTGCTTTTGTTAAATGATAAATATCGCAAAATGCTACATCATAATTCATATATTTTTATTTGACTTAAAAGTAAGTGTTTTTATCGGTAATGAATCCATTTGACGCATATTGGAAAAATGTATTGTACGATGTTACTATCATGTTTCAATAATTAAATATGTAGCGTAGAACTATTTTAAGCTGCAGTGAAATTTTAACTAAAGTTATAAAATTTCTTAACTATTAGCCAACTATTACCTTCGTAAGTGTATTATATTGCACAAAGTAAATAGTTTAAGCAACTTTGGTTGGTTTTCCCTTAGCGTCTCTATTCATAAGCACATTAATAGCTCTTTCATCAGGTGGTAAATATACCACATAGCACAAACGCATAGTTTACATCGCGAACTGTAGTGGAATTTAATAATCATTTACAGGTATATATTCTAACGGAATAGGCAAATGATTAATAATTGAAATACATTTTGAGAGCAAGGCGTTACGCGCTCTATGAGGCTTCTATCGATAAGCTATTCGAATCTAAAGTAATCAAATAGTCAATTATTATATACATAACAAGAGAATTGCGTGCTTTAGATGTTATAAACAGAACCATTTATGATTCAATAAACTACGCTGTATTGTTCCGAAAGTTTCTGACAGACACAAATCAAACTCATAGAAAATGTAATCGATTCATACTGTGGTTAAGAATGCAATGATATTGATCATTGCATCTTCTTACACACATTCACAAACTTATATATATATATATATATATATATATATATATGTATATATATATATATATATAAATATAAATTTTGATTATTTTTCTGATGTTGAAACATATTTGATTTGTTAAAAGTAAAACTATTCTCATTATACGTTTAGACACTTGATGTGTGTCATCTTTCATCGAATCAAACCAGGACAAAAATAAAAACTTTGAACATTAATAATATTTCTAAAAGAAAATTTTTATAAATTTAATAGGAACTAGTTGAAAGTGGCATTTAGTCTTAATGCAAGTTGCAGGAACTTCCTAAAATGTATAGGAATTGACTTAATAAATCGAAATTGAAATTTTGATATTTAGACAAAATTTTCAACTGTTTATTTCAAAAATAAAGTTATCGCTTTCAATTAAATCTAAACATTGCGATTTCGAATAAATTTTTTTCAAACACATTTAAATTAACTATAAATATATTCATTATATTGCTCAGACACGTGCTTGTATGCCCTAAAGTTGTAGCTTGTTATTTTAAATTTTAATTAATTGATAATGTTTGACTCATAACATCACAAAAGCAACTTCTGACACAAATTTTGACTATAATATTTTCTCAAACTTTGATGAATTTTTAACATTGAACTATTTGTCGCAAGGCTGTAACATTTTAGTGTGTTTTATAAGACCATAATATCTATTGTCAAAAAGAAGTTCATAAAAATCGTAAAAAAAAATTTCAACAGTTAGTTCCAAGAAAACCCTCCGATAGATTTTCACCTAAAACTAATCATCAATATCATTTCCACCCAATGCCTTTCGAACAGTTTTTGATTTTTAAAAATCAGTTCAGAATTGAGACCTACAACGTGGATATTTTTTTTTTACTTTTCTTTCAAACGGCTTGGCTGATCGTCGCGCAAAATTGATAAACACTAGTTCTAATCAAGAATGGCTTTTAAATTATTGTAATCGGTCCAGCACTTTTTGAGAAAACGTCGATTAACGGCGAAAAATCTGTTCACATACACACACACATACATACTTTTTCCTAGTTTGGTCTTTTTGATGAAAACATAAACTTCTCCTTCGGGAAGTTAATGAAACAACACAACTAACAATGTAAATCAAAGACTGAAAGATTGAATATATTGCCTCATAAGCAAAATAAAAATGCTTATCAGTTGACAAGCGAAACTAAGATTTTATTTTTTAAAACATTTCGTAGTGTTTCAAGTTTTGTTTTTGTTCTAGTTTGATTTGCTAAATGATAACACACATAAAATGTCAAAACGTATCATGGAAAAAAAATAGTTTTCTTTCAACCGTTTTTTTATTCGACAAATGGGCTTCTACTTATTTTGAATATATATGGACTAGAGCTAAATATGAAGATCCAATCCTATATAATAACAAATAACACACATTAAACAAACAACTATTGTAGAAATATGTTTTTTTTTGCTATTTTTCAAAAGTTTGTCATCTGGTATTTCTACTCTGTAGGCGGGGTAAAATGGGACGGCCGGAGAACTAATAGATTGAATTGACTTTATATTTCGAAGGGATTTGTTACGAAATAACAACTACATTTATCAATTCAAAATACAAATTTTATGGATACATTTTTTATAATAGTATCTTTTCAGAAATATTCATCAGCAAAGTTGGAAAAACTATTTATTTAATTTATGTTTTTTACAATTGCTATTTTTAACTTAATTTACTTTTTTATGTACGATTTTTCATTGTTTACACCTTAGCCAAGGTAAAGATTTAGTTGGTCCTTCTTACCCCACCCACTAGCTTTTATAGAGGTAATATAAAAAACTGTCGAATCCAACTCAAAATTAATAATTCATCTTAAAAAAAACAAATAAGTAACGTATACCTAATCTTTTTCCCTATACTTTCAAAGATTATTGCTAAAAAATTTCAAACTTTTAAATATATATATATATATATATATATATATATATGTATATCTGAATAAATATATATTTTATATTTATATACAGTGAAGGCTTATTTTTCGATATGAATTTTTATTATATAACACCGATAGCAGTATTGTCGCACCGCTACTTCTCATAGTTCAGACAAAGTTTTGGCAGGATAACTTTATGGACAAAAACTTGGCAAGGTTCTGAGATTTTTCAGATAAGCTGAATATAAATTTATTGGCACAAAGGCCAAAAACTTTTTACAAGGTGACGTTTTCAGATGTTCGCGCGAAATGATTAAACGATATAATAATTGCGGAATAATGGAGAATACTTATCGTTGATTTAAAACTCATTAATAAATAATATATATATATATATATATATATATATATATATATATATATATATACGATCATGTGGAATTTACTTTACATTTACTATATTTTTCAACATAATAGCAATTCCATGCAAACGTTTTATCTATATTAAATCCATTTTAAAACTATCTACATTAAAACTATTTAACTTTCAAATGTACAGCTAAAAATAGATTTTGTTGAAATTCATTGAAAATTATTTTGAATGCTGAATGAATTTGAAACTGAATGTTTATTAATAAATTTTTATATTTCTTTCATTTATTGCTCTAAATATGATGCTTTCACATCATTCCATTAATATAATTATATGCTGTTTACAATTTCCAATGCTATTTACCATTTACGAAATATTAAGTGAAGTTTACTTGTAAATATGCAAAAAATAGCTTTTTGTTAAAATTCATTCAAGATTATTTATAATGCAAAATGAATTTGAAACTAAATGTTTATTTATATAGTTTCATATTTTATTCATGTTTTGCTCTAAATTTGATGCTTTCATATCGTTCCATTATTATAATTATATGCTGTTTACCATTTCCATTGCCATTTATCATTAACCAAATATTTTCACTGTAATTTCCATGTAAATTATAGTGACAATTTGACGCTCAAAAGGCTACCTATAGCGAATTGCGGTTCATTTTGTAATTAAAATACAAAACAATTAACAATTATATTCATACAAATATTATCTATTTATTTTCATAAATTATTTTGGCAATGTTATCTATATGCATAAATCTAAACATGAATCATCAACAAACAATATTATATTTATATTTAAATTAGTGTATTATCATAACGTTTTTGATTTTATCATATTACAAATTATTTGGTTTTTGATTTTATTTACTTTTCAATCATGAGATATTACAAGTTTCTATTTGAATGTTATTTATTCAGTAGCATCCAGCTAGGTTTTACAAAATTTATATTCATTGCGGCAGAAAAAAAATTATTCAAAATATGATGAATTATGTGATTATCTATTTACTACCTCAAAATTGTACCAAAACTCCCGATTTTTTTTCAGTTTTAAAAACGTTTCATTGAATGAGGTGATTTGCAGTGTACAAGTAATATATATAAATTTATTGTCCAAGGGTATTATACTCTCACAATATCATATACATATTGCATTAAATAATGCGATATACTATATATATATATATATATATATATATATATATATATATATATATATATATACATACCAAAAAACTCACGATTTTATAAAAAAAAATCTTTTCAATTTACGCGGCCGCGCAGCCTTTAAACATTTATAACTCTGTCAATTTTTGTGTGAAAGAAAAATAATAAAAAACAATAATAAGCTAGAAAGATCCCTTTGATTTTTATCTATATGTTTTTATACGTATCTTTTATTCTTTTTGAGATATAATGAAAATAAGTTCCATTTTTAAAAAAATTGAAGAAAAAAGTTTTTATAAAATCGTGAGTTTTCTGAAAATAGTTTGTACTAAAGTAGTGAATCTACTAGAATCCATCAAGATGTCTATAATGAAGTGAATTCTAGATGGAATGTGAATTACTTTAATTCTGGTGGAAATGGCGCTCATTAAACCATATGATTTAAAAGAAAAAAACTTTGTATATGCTTCTTATTTGCATCATAGCTCAGTCATTTTACACGCAAAAAACTTGTAACGGAACTCATTTTAAAGCTTATGTTGAGCACTATAAAACCCAATTTCACCGAAATGCATAAAATGTAAAACCTCGACACTAGATGGCTTTAAATACAACAATTAAATCTTGAACGAAATAAAAAACGACTTTGCTTTTTCAAATCTTGCTTAATATTTTTCCTAGAACACTTTATGCAACACCGATTTATTAAGATTTTTATTGAAATTATTTTGTTCATTACATGATTTTCGTTAAAATGTATATTTTAGGAGATATTTGCAAAAAAACGAAGAAAAACGCCAAAAATATATGAATCTTTAGTGGCTAGTAACTTGAAAAGTATTAGTTTTTTTTTGAAAAACTATGAAAGACATTTTTTTCTTATAATTAGTTCTTCTATCGATTTCCGATATTATTTTGAAAAAAATGTGATTACACAATTGAGAAGGGGGGTCATTCCCCCGGGGGGTGATGGCGCAACCCGAATTGTTTTCACTTTTGAACTTAAGGGTAAGATGAACCTAATTCCTAAATTTCATTCAATTCGGAGCACAATAAAAAAAATTCAGACCTAAAACGCTCCGTTTACTGCACTATTATCACATCAGTACTTATTATATTAGTAATTAGTGATCTTCTTCTTCTATATTGTTAAAAAAAAAATCACAGTTTTTTTTATAAACAGATCGCATATGAAAGCATTATAGAAAAAAAATTTAATTAATATATATTAATTAACTTACTACTATACATTTTAATTGAAAATATTTGTTAATGAGCAGAAGGATCTCGAAACCGTGATAGCTGTAACCGGTTGGATGGGCGCGTCTGTTCACCAGAACCAGAGGCGTTTAGCTCTGCAGCGTCAGCAGAAGCTGAACGAATATCTTTTAGAGCTAACTACTTGTTATTTTACACACAACGTAGAAATTGAGAAAATGATCTCCGAAATTGTGGTAAGAAAACGTCTCTTATACATTATACTATGAACTACTAAAAATAGGTCTGTTAAATTCTTTTTTGTTTAAATTGTTTAAACTTTAGTCCAATAGTAGTAATTTCATTTGGATCAAATTTATATTGAGCTCTTATACTAATTTTGGTGAACTTGTTTTTAATTGACTGTGCAATTTTCTGAACAACATACGAAAGTTTTACATTAGATTTAAAATGCTTGTATGAAAGCTATATTATGTATAGAAATAAACATGAAAGTTATTCAAATCAGATAAGGTCGCCAAATTTATCAAAGATATGATAACATCATTTGCGTATGCCAAATTATCTTATATCATCAATGTACATTCTGATATGTACACTAGTTAATTAGCACCTGCTTGTATCTCTAAACTTGCCTTATAATAGATATGTATATTGTATATATTGGATAGAGCAGGGCTTAAAGGTCTGCTGGCAAAATGTTCCACCACCATCATCTCAAAAACAAGCGAAATTCACTATTTTAAAGTAGAAGCTAAGAATGTGTAACCAGTCACCTTTGAATTGGTCGACGTTGCAATCAGGAGATAAATGGCCACGTTGTTATTTTTTTTAACAAAATTATTTTTGTTGTTGTTACTTTCTTTGTTATTAGGCATAGTTGTTTAGTTTAAACAATACAACAAAATACTTTTGTTATATATTTTTAAACATTGCCATTTTTCTCCCTATAGCAACGTCGTAAGAATCAAGGTGATGTATGGTTATACATCTTTTTACCTCTACTTACAATTATTGTTTTTAAAAAAATCTATACTTTACTACCGGTGGTATACCTTTTTACTCTTGAACTTTTAAGCCCCGTTCTGCCCTATTTGTGTATATATATATATATATATATATATATATATATATATATCCCACTCTTCCATTAAACCGGCGTGTCTACACTGCGTTGTACTTTTAACCTTGAACAGTGCCCACAATGCAATGCTATCAACAACATCACGCTCCTCCCATTTCTCGTTTGTTAATATAATAGTAATTTATTATTTTACACAAATTTAGTGTTCAATCAATTTTACATCATAATTAATGTTTTCTGTTGTTTTTCCTGGTTTGGTATGTATAATTTCCTCCTTTTATATATTTATATGTTTTTTAGATTACTGAATAAGACACACATCAAGTGTCAAAACGTTTTTTAATTAGACGTTTGGGCTGCAAATATTTATATATATATATATATATATATATATATATATATAATAAATATTTACTGTGACCAGTTCCATTTCTATATTCGTCGTCAATATCAAATGATCAGATATAGTAGTTTATGAAATATTGTTTTTTTTTCGCCAACGATATTTACTCGCGCAGGTATATTTTACCTACATACGTATCTAAAGTATCGTCGATATAGTATATGTATTGATTTGCGGCGAAATATATAAACGGAAGGGTTTTCTGAGTGGCCCGAGGGTCGCACCGTGCATAAGCAAATACTCCATATCGATGGGCTCAATACACACCCTAAACCACTTTATAAGAATTTCCACAAATTCATTACCATGTTTGTGTTACCATAATTAATTCAATGTTTTTCTTATAATATTGTTAGAGGGAAATATTTGTTTATATAAATATTTTGAACCATGCCTATATTGAATTACCAATCAGTATGGATTTAATCCAGTCAGTGACTCAAGGGATCAGGAATTTTGTCGAGTGCGAAAGTTTTTGTCTTCCAAAAATTTGTAAAAATTGTAAAAATTGTAAAAATTGTAAGAATTAATCTCAACCAAAATATCTAAAATGACTACGTGTACTTGCTAAAAATTCACGAAAGAGACATCATTCATAACGTCAATTTTTTCTGAGCAGCAATTCGCCAAAACGACGCTGACAGCGGAGCGCGGTTCATTTTTCGTGGTGTGTCGAGATGAGGGCGATAACTTGGTGGCGGATCTGTTTGACGAAGGTCTCGATCAAACTGGAGGATCGTTGCACAAGAAAAAAATGAAGATAAGGTTTTGTAATTACAATTCTACTTCTACAAATAAAAAGAAACGATCAGTTTTCCTCCTTTCGAAATTGCAAATGTCAACCAATATTTTGCGCAGGCACAAGACTGCTGATTTTTTTGCTAACCTTATTTCTTTGTAGTAAGTTAGAAGCTATATATATATATATATATATATATATATATATATATGTGTGTGAACTTCGAACAAAGATTCCAAAAATTAATAAAAAACAAAGTTTTTTTTTAAAAAAATCATTTTTATTGCCGATTTTATTATTTTCATTTTGATTATATTGTCATATTTTTGTAATGTTATCTCTTTCACAATTTTAATAATATATGAAAATCCACAATTTTCTACTTTTCTTGAATATATTATTTTTTTAAATCTTATCAAACTCATGTTTCTTGACAAATATCCTGAAGATAGGACGTTTCTAGTTCCGAAACATCAACTGTAAATAAATAAAAAAATGTTTTTTTGAAAAACTTTTTTGTTTTTTATTACTTTTTGGACTCTTGGTTCGAAGCTCTACAAAATATTTATTAAAGTAGAAACTATAAGTAATCACACATTTGAGAAAAAATGCAACTAATTACAAAAACCATTTTATCCATACATTCGTAAAAAATAACATATGAGATAAAGACATGCTGAGATAGTTTTTGCAAAATAGTGCTATGTCACTTTGTTTCTTGTAGAAGTGTGTCATTTTCAAAATCAACATTCTATCCAATTACAATGAAATTGATCGAAATTATTAGTACCACACGTTTATTCATTTTAATAGAAATAATTGCAATAATAACAAATAAATCCAAAAAATAACATGATAAAACCTACCTCAAAATAAACTTTGGACGGCGCGATACATTTTACAATGACGCTCAACATCTGACAAGACTGTGATTATTTCTTTCTCACTACAACATTTTCGCTAATTAAATAAAAATTATGCGAACTTAAAGAATTCATACTTTCAGTTAAATCACAAAAAGTTACAAACAATTTAGTACATTTTTACAGTTTAATCATTATTAAATTATAGGGAGAGCATTTTCTATTATTTCAAGATAGAAAACACTGTCCTACAATGCATGTTGGATATATATCCTATTTTTCTTCTTTTCCATCCATTTTATTTGATCAAATATTTAGTTTATTTTCTATACTGTTTGTCCTCTGTATTTTCATTTCTAAGCAAGGAAATTGTAAAGTGTAACAAATACTGTGGATAAACTACATTCATCTTCAACAAACGATTGAAAATTATTGTATTATTTCTGAACAAATGTGCACCAAGTAGGGTAGACTGGGTGCAGTTAAACCAATTTAAATTTGATCAGCAATAATTTTGTTAATTATTAGTAATTGGTTACTTGGTGAAAAAGTAAATCAAATAGCAGTTTGAACTTTTATCTGCCTAAAAATAATGCAATAGTGTCCTTAAAAATGATGAATTAGTTATAGCATCAAATCAAACAGAAAATGGGCACGTGTCACAACCGTCAACATCCCGAGGACGGTTGTGACAGCGGTTGGGGAAACACCACAATGGTTGAACGTCTTTTATTGTTTGAAATATGTTGGTAACATAATACATTAAAATGATTTAAACGAAGCTAATGAATATAATATAAACATGTTATTAATGAAGTTAACAAAAAATGTACTGATAGGATGATGATGATGCCGGTTGTGAAATCTTTTTTTCTAGCATTGCTTTTTTCTTTTTCTTTCTCTTTATTATTTTTTAATCAAATTAGATTTTAAGAATTAGAAATACATAATCTGTATATACATATATGTATATACAGATATATAATATATATATATATATATATATACATATATATATACATATATATACATATATATATACATATATATATATATATATATATATATATATATATATATATCTTCTATATATATAAATATAAGTCGGGTTTTCTTTCCTGACGAAATAACTCCAGAACGCACGAACCGATTTCGACAATTTTGCATTCGTTGGAAAGGTCTCGGGCTCCGCAAGGTTTATAGCTAAGAAAATTAGTGATGCATGGCATCGTGCCCTAATGCAAATTGCTGGAACTTCACGCACCGTAATTAAAAATTCGACTAATGACATTAGTGAGAATTATCAGAATTATGCTTGGTTAAGTCAACAAGCAATTCTTGCCGCAAAGAATAATGATATACACGCACTGAATTTGACCATTCAATCAAAAATTGCTGTCGATTTGGTGACATACCAATGATTCCGACTGGTCTTCCGTTTGACTTCAAACTATTGCAATTTCCAGTTCGCCTTGCGTTCGCAATAACAAGTCGCAAGGCCAATCGCTTAGTGTTTGCGGGATAAATTTCAAATAGATTATTTAGAAAATAATTGTTTTTCACATGGGCAGTTATACGTTGCCTGTTCACAAGTTGGAAAATCATCCGCTTTGTTTGTATTAACGTCAGACCAAAAAACAAAAAATGTGGTTTATCAAAGAGCACTTCAATGAAACGGATAATTTGCGGATTCACTTTCATTTACTTAGAGCAGTTCAACTAAAAAACACTCCATTTTTTAATCGAAATAAATTCATTGCTGTTATATAATAAAATCAAAATTTTCCCTTTCAAATATACAAACTAAAAATTTCTTCATCTTTCTCCATCCAAACCATCTGGTGGCGAAACGGAGTTCGTCGGGTTTGCTAGTATATATTTATATAGTATATATACGATTAATAGTTATTAATAAAAGAAATTGAACAAAAAAACTTACGTTTGGCACCTTAAAAGCCTTGCGATCTACAGCTCATGTTAATGTTGGGCGCTGACCGATTGCAATGATGGGTACTTTTTCAAACGAACATGCAATATATCTCTCCATTTAGACCTTATCTCAAAATTAGAAGCTTTTATATGTTATGTTGAAACCGTACCCAGTCTTCCTTACGGAAATAATCTTTCTACTGCAATAACCGCAAAATTCATTCATGTGTAAGTAACGAAAACGTACTCTACATTTATAATTCAACTAATCGAAATTTAATTTAGTCGTGAGTTCCATTTATATCCAAACCAAATACATTAACAGCAATAACATACCACTAAACTAATTCTACAGTCAAAACAACGTTCTAAAGTTGTGTTCAAAGAGAATCCACGTTTGGCTTTTTCACTCATATCACTTCAACCGTCTATTACTATATAGTAGGGGAGACTGGGTACCGTTGTCATCTTTTCTTATCATCAATAGTTTTCTCAATATACCAGTGAAAAAGTAAATTAAATCGTATTTTGAACATTTGTCTACGAGATAATACTAAGCATTCGTAGAATTCTAGCAGTTTTTAAATACGATGCATTAGTCATAAAATCAAATCGTACAATAAAAAGGCGAGTGTCACAAACGTCCACATACCCAGAATAGTTATGATAGGCATAAATATAATTTCAATAATAATAGCTATAAACAACAAAATGGCTTATAACGGATTTTATTGACAGAAATACGTAAACTTATGTTAAAGATGGGGATTGATTAGACCCTTTTGGAATAGTTTCTTGTATTTGATTCAATAGCTACTCCGAGAATTTTGTGAAATTCAGTATACTAAGAAACCAGCCGAGGTTATCTCCTTGTTTTTCTCTCAGAATCGGGTGCAGAGGAAGGAATTGACTCCAAAACCACAATAAGGAACACTGTTAGCAATTAATGAAAGTATTTATTCACGTTAATAACAGATACCTCTCGGTAAATACAACAAACTAACATGGCAAAACAAGTGAACATAGTAAATGAATAAACGAGAGAACCCATGAACGCAAATGATTAGCGCTTATATACAAATCTTCTTCTTTCCGAATTGCCAGAGATTTTGTATTGCCTGATTCTGACAAATGTAGTTTGTTCGTGCCATCTACCGTCTTTCTGGCGCAAACAACTTAATATAATAATATACAACAAAACACATTTTTTAGCAAAAGGTCCTAGTAAAAACTTTTTTTCTTGTATAGAATTTTTCTTGTCCTTTCTCTTTCGTTTTTTGTTTTAATTAAGTCAGATTTTTCCTTATTTGTGGTAATTTTTAGCCTTTTTTATGTCAACATTACATGTCACATGAAACAAAAACTACTTACTGGTAATCAACTATTAATGTTCACCTTATAGTAAAATAACAAATTGATATCTCTCTGTGTACAAGTAACAGTTATTAAAAAGTAAAATAAATAGAACAAAAAAATTACTTTTGACTCTTTAAAAGCAATGCGGTATACAAACCAAATTAATGTAGAGCGCTGATTTATTGCAATACTGGAAACTTGTTTGAATAAACATACTTCACGTTTCTCTCTTTGAAGTCTATTTCAAAATCAGCATAGCTTAGGGGGTGTTCATTAATCTCACGAGATTACAGTTATTAGTGAAATAAATAGAACAAAAAATTGACTTTTGACTCTTTAAAAGCAATGCGGTATACAAACTAAATTAATGTAGACCGCTGATTCAATGCAATACTGTAAACTTGTTCGAATAAACATACTTCATGTTTCTTTCTATGAAGCTTATCTCAAAATCAGCATAGATTAGGAGGTGTCCATTAAGGGGCACAACTAGTGTAACCGCCTAAAAAAAGTCACTTTTGCGAATTCATATTAAAAAAACTACTTTATCAATAATTTCAAAATTTTAAGAATATATTTATATATGTTTTAAGAATACATAGTAATTTTTGAAGGAAAAAATTAAATATTTTTTAAGTTATCGTCGATCTCCAACGGCGCGACAAAAAAAATGCCCCTCACTGCTGCAGTGATTCCGGCCTTCGACGTGAATAAAATTAATTTTTTTTTTTTGTTAAACTAGATAATATTGTCTGTAAAATGAACTACGATAAAGAAAAAAATGGAAAATTGACAAAATGGCGGCGTTTTTTAAAAAAATCGAATCGGTCGAATTTTACCTAAAATTTTCGTCGTTTTTGGACTGCCAAAATTCGATTTTTGATCCGATCAAAAAATCGATAGTTCATTTTACGGATAACTATATATAAAACATGTAAAAAAAAGTGATAGTGATCCAATCATTTGTTTTTGAGTAATCGCTGCAGCAAATTCGGAAAATGCTGTTTCGAGAAAAACGCGTTTAAAGATTGAATGATCGTTATACTATATACTATATTTATACTCTTAGAATGGCTGTGACTCAAAAACTATTTAAGCTATCGATTTAAAATTTTGGTATGTTATTTTTAAAGGTATAACCTATCGAACTATGAAAAAATTAAAAATTCGATTTTTTGAAAATTTCACACTAGTTGTGCCCCTTAATCACATGAGGCGTTTAGGGGGAGGGAGGGTTTGACAAAAAATCACAAAATATCATATGCGAAAGCGAGAGGTATAGTAAGATATCACGTGTATTTATTTTCTACCTGAATTTTTGAAAAACTCAAAACATTTTCAAAAAAAAAAATTAAAAAATTTTACAATTTTTTCTCGTAACTAAAAACACACGTAACGTTTGTTGAGTAAAGAGGGTAATTTTGAATATCACGAATCCCTAAAAAATCGATTACGTGATCACTGGACGCCCCTTACCCACCCAGTCTCCCCTACTATGAATTTTCAATAAATACGAGCGCCTGTAGACATTTTGAATTATACTATATCATACATGTATTATATAGTACCCACCTGATGCATATTGATACTTGGTATAATAGCCTGTCCCTAATACATACTTTCAAATAGATTCAATAAGGAACGTGACGTTGCGGGCGTCGTGGCGCGCACGGGACAAACCGTCAATATTCGTGATGCGTACGCCGACGCCAGGTACAACGTGGACAGCGACACCAAGACGGGGAACATAACGCGGTCCGTGCTCTGCACACCCATCATGAGTAAGGACACCGTACTAGGTGAGCCCAGAGAAAGTGAACTAGTTTTATTGTAATAACATGAAAGTTTACACACGTGCGGGTGCAGGATAAATACGGTGTAAATTGAACGTACTACAAGGGTTGGTGATCAAATATTTTTGTATTATTGGATCATTTTATATATGTACACAATCATACACATTTATGGGGGTACGCACTGGTGGGTTGCTTGCGTAATTTCTATAGCCAAAGGCGAGAGAAGGTCCATAACTAATTTATAAAACAAACTATTTACATCTGTCAGATCACTAATATGTATGTATATATATATATATATATATATATATATATATATATATATATATATTGATGAGTTATTTAGAATCGGGCAGTAATACCAAGTAAAAATAAATTAAAGTAGTTTTGATATACTTTATTTATCCATACGTTTCGGTCTTCATCGAGACCGTCATTCAGTGGAAAAAAGAAAATTAATTATACCGTACTAGGTGAGCCGAGAGAAAGTGAACTACATAGTTTTATTATTGTAACATGAAAGTTTACACACGTGCGGGTGCAGGATAAATACGCGGTGTAAATTGAACGTACTACAAGGGTTGGTGATCAAATATTTTTGTATTATTGGATCATTATATGTATATGTATATGTATATATATATATATATATATATATATATATATATATATACTGCTTCTTGCTAGTAACTGGTAGGTTGCTTGCGTAATTGCAGTAGCCAAGGGCGAGGGATGAATAGGGTTCATAACTAATTTAATTAATAAATCAACCTATTTACATCTTTCATATCACTAACATGTATATACACACACACACACATACATATATATATATATATATATATATATATATATATATATATATATATATATATATATACATAGGTTGTCAAATATCTCCCTTCCGCCTTTTTGTATTATAAACCAAGAGCAAAAAAGCGGAAGGGAGATATTTGACAACCTAATATATATATACAGGGTGTCCCAGACATTGACGTTAACCCGGATCGGGGTGACAGCATTGACCTGAAAAAAATTAGAAAAAGTAGTGTAGTTTGGAAATTATGAGCTGTTAAGTGCAACCTAAATCTTTGGTGTAGTATTAGTAATACTTACTAATTTTGTTTATTGAAATCATGAATAGCAATCCTAGGCCCACCAATCAAAAAAAATAATTGCCCCCAATTTTCAAGAATTAAGACTTTTTGTTGAACTAAGGTACTATATAAGGTACTATTATCACGTTTCGACTTGACGCCAAGGTCTGGGACACCCAGTATATATATATGCTTAAATTGATATTGACATATTCTTTGATAGGTTAAATGATCAATAAAAAACCCGAATTTCTTTAAAATTTTGATGGCGATTACTTTATTTAATTGACTGTAAACAATAATTATTCCGTCAGTATGAAAAATGAACAAAACAACCGTGTTTTGTATGGATACAATTTTTAATCCGCGAATTCGAGAGCACGTTCATACGTGAATCGTTAGTTTTTGGCAGAGAAAGGTCCAGCCGTATCGGAGATATGGAGCAAAAGTGCAAAAAATGAATATACGATTTATGCAAAGACATACCATCTGATTAGAATAATTCGAAATACAATCGATTTGTGTTGATGCGGAAACATGCTAGTTTTGGCAGAGACAGGTCTAGCCGCTTCGGAGATACAGAGCAGACTGCAAATGACAGTTTTTAAGAGGACGTAGCTTTCTATTCAATTGACTCAAACTACATTTTACTTTTTTGGACTGATGGCATAAGTGAAAAATTGATTACATTATTGCACAGGCAAGGCCAACTGTTTCTAACTTTCAGGAAAAAATTTAAAAAAATTACACTTGATGGTCTGAAGTAATCATTACAAACCATTATCGATTTATATACATGTAGATACTTTTATACACAGATGACAGATAGAGACAGGTAGACAGGTAGACAGATGGATAGGTAGATGAGTGAACAGATAGAAAGGTAGACAAGTAGGCAGGTTGACCAGTAGACTGGTAGGCAGTTTTAGTGGCAGACAGATAGACAAGTAGACAGGTGAACGGCTCGCAATGTATGCAGGTATAAAAGTAAACAAGTTGTCTTTTAGACATGTAGTCACTCAGACAGGTTGCAATTTAGACAAGTAGTTACTTACATACACAGTCTCTTTATCAGGTCGTCACTGAGACAGGTAGTTACTTAAACAGGTTGTCACTTAAACAAATAGACCCCTGGATAGGTAAACAAGTAGACGGTTTTGGTTGATTATATTTAACATATCGGAATTTACATTTCTCATGTACACATGTATTTATATGCAGAAACACTTTTAACCCCTACCATGAAAGTTCTCGGACTACAAAAGTGCTTAGTCAAATATTGATCAAGTTTATTATAAAAACAATGTGTTTTAGCTATAGTCTGAACCTTCATTCAGTGGAAAATTTACTTTTTTTGATATTAAAAATAGAGCACAATAATCCATGGTACAAGGATATGGTATGACAATATAATAAGTGTAAAAAGTAATCAAATTGTTATTCGGGGAAACCAGAACTCAACGTCATGTCAAAACGGTTTAATTCAATAGTATTAAAAATATTTGATAGTTTCATAAAAAGAATCAAATAAAAAATAACAAAATAATAGTTAAAAAATAACAATATACCAAATAACAAACAAATAATAATAACTAAACGCATTGTGCTCATTTGCTGTTCAAATATAAATTATATTTTTTGTACGAGCAAGTTCCAATGTGCGAGGCAGAAACAAAAACTTATGATAATATGTACAAATTTGTAATACTTATTTTCAGGTATTCTCCAAGTCATAAACAAGAAGAGCAACAAATATTTTGACAGAGAGGATGAAAGTTTGTTTAAAACTTTTGCTGTATATTGTTCGCTTGCATTGCACTACTCAAAAGTAAATGCATCAAAGTTGGAAGCGGTAATTATTGTTTTAGCTGTTTGCTTTGTTTTTCGAGACAATAATTTTCTAACCATTATTTTTATATTGCTAATATATTTAAACTCATATGTTATCAAAATAAAGAAATTACACATAGTAATAAATACATATCACATCATGGCATAATTATAAAACAAGCATGTTTCTTTCTCTTGAATTTGTTCAAGTCGTAATGAAACTTCAAAGAAGATGGAAAAATCAGTATGCCCGAATTTAGAAAGACGAAAACTAAAAACGTGATGCAAATTCGTATATTATTTCTTTATTACAAAATAAATTCGACTTTGTAGAAGTTTGAGTAAAAATTTGTATTGTTTCCATTGTTTCTTCATCTATTAATAAATTTAACGATTATATAAAGTTCACTCGCGTCTGAAGTAAAACTTATTTGCTACTGTACGAGATGGCATTTAAGTAAAAATAAATACATCATATACCAATTTTGAATAATGTTTATTAATAATATGCTAACACTCGTGATGCACACGTTTATTAGTGCCAACCATTATACACATTTAAATATTGATAAATTAATAATTAATTTATAATAGCATTAAAAATATGTATAATGTTTAGAAACAATAATGTAATTAAAGTCATACTTCAAATATGATATGATCGGTTTGTCATTGTAACTAGCATTTAGAAATGAACCTTCATTAGAGAAATGAAGTAATTGCTGATTAATAAATTCTATAATATTTATTCACAGAGTGGATTGTGTTAAACAACGCCTAAACAAATATTGTTTTCGCAAATTCACTTATCATGTAATTGTGTTCGAAGAACTTCATGTAATTGAAATTAACATACATTCATTAACAGCTTGTATTTTTTTTACTTTTTTGCTGACGGCCCAAACGTTTAATTTGTTTTATTATTTTCAAGGAACAGGTTTAAATATTCTTCTGATTTACGCATTTTTCTTTAAATCAAGATTTGTACTACGATGTAACTTTAAAATGTTTATTTATCAATGCCGATTTCCTTGTTGATGCCGGGTACACATACAACGACAGATCTGTATTCACATACACGACGAATAATCACAATCGATCCGTATTGAAATGATCTCATCAAGAGCGAATGACGAACAGTTCGGGCGTAACGGACTTCCGTTGCATTTGTACGGATTTACACCCTAGTCGCACCTAAAGAAGGTTCACTCTAAAAATTGGATATATGATATCATTCTTAGGAAATCCTTGTTTACACAACTTCAAACGCAATTTTTATAAAGTGGTTTTTAAGCATGTTATATGAATAACAAAATTATAGTGTATCATTCATGTTTACGACTGAACTTTATAACGTCTGAAAAAATCGAAATTTTTATTTACCTCATATAAAGTTGTTTTTATACCATACTTAATAAAGCTTGAACCGATGCATACCCATAAATCCATATCATCTTTACGATGTCGTGCAGATTTTATTTTATTTTTACACTGTCCAGTTCATATTATATCCTAAGGGAATTTAAACTGCAATCCTGTATTCTTCTGACATCACTGTGGACTTTCACAGATACATAATATAAAATGCTCTTACATTTCCCCATAAAACCTTTCATCTGGAATATACTTCGACTTATGTATCACATTTCCGTCTTTGTTAAAACGTTTTAACCGATAACACATCCAGACAAGTTATTGTACAACTTAAAGTACATTTTCGAATGTAATAAATCAATATTGTAGATCAATTTTAGAAGTTAAGGCGGTTTTTATGGTATGAAGCAAATTACTGAATAAGTTTAAAATCCTTGTAAATTATTTGTAAATATAAATAAAAATAACAAAACTATTTTATAGTTTCTAAGAACATATTGTACGAGTATGGAAAGATTCCCATTTTACGAATTTTATCAATTTATTGTTTGTTTAAATTAAATTTTGATAATCATCAAATTTTTATTCATGAATATTATGACAAAATTTAGAGTAAAAATAATAAAATTTAAAATTGAATAATAAATTTTAATAATTTTGCTTATAGTTGATTGCTTATTGAAAATGGTTTTGGTAAAATCTTTTATGCTTATAATAAAAAAAATTATCAATATTTATTATATAATATAATTATATAATTTGAATATTATAATTATAACTGATCTATATTTTCACTTTTCAATAACCTCAGAAATTTTCTAAATTGCAGGAGAAAAAATGCAATGTATATCGAGATCTGTTATCTTTCCATATGAGACCAACTATAGCCGAAGTACGTCCATTTTTAACTCATCCATATCTTAGTGAACCACCAAATGGTTTTGATGAGTAAGTATAAAAGATTTTATGTTATAAGCTTAGGATTACATTAAAATATAATTAGACATTTTTAAAGTTATATAAAAATGCGATCTCCAAGTTGAAGGACTCAAAGGTTCCATTTGATTTTGACTAATTATTTTGTGAAAACCCAACCAATTTTATCACAACAACTAACAACTATCTGAATATGTTTAGTAAAACTCCCATATTATAATATATTTCTACAACTTTTTTTTAAAATTTGTCACTCGGTTCCATAGGCGGGGTAAAAAAGGACAGCAAAAAGTTCCATTGTCTAGTTTTTAAATTTAGAAAGGCTCTATAAAGTAATAACTACATGACTCAACCAATGTTATGTATTTTAATTATTAGGTTGAACAACGTTATTTCTTTTGATTTATCATAATCAGGCTTAATATTTATTGAAATACAATAATTATAAATAAGATAAATAATACAACTTCTGTTTTGAAATACATTTTTAAGGCCTCATTTTTCATGAAAATCGCACTGCATACAAACTTTGTTTAGAAATTGTCGTAAGAAGTCATCTCCGGAGTTGAAATAATCGCGGACTTTTTTGATTGATTGAATGTCAATTGTTATGACTGATAGTTTTGTAAAAAAATGATATTAATAATACTTATCATATTAGTTAATTGAATTCAAATATTATCTGTGATGGTTTATCTGTTATATGTTCAATAATATAATGGCAATTATAGCCGATAATTTTGTAAGAAATGATATTAATATAATATTAATAATATTTCCCCTATGAAATAATTGTACATAAAGTCGAATCCACCTGTTAAATCGGTTTATATATTATAAGGTCTATGCTAGGCCGTAATATATGACATATAACATTTAATCAATCGGGAGAGTTCTGCTTTTGTCGGCAACGCTCGCTCAGCAAGTGACGTCCCTTCTTTGTTTGAGCACTATATACAACGGAAAACATATGATGACTAGCATCCCATGTAGTGTAATGTCTTGGGGTTCGACCAATTATATGTAGTATATCAGTTATCATTTCACATATCATCTTTGATAGCTATATATTCTGGTCCTATATTATACTAGGCGTCAGACAAAATCAAACATTTGAATTAGACGCAATTCAACTTGACCACACTTACATCGACAATATACTATATCTACTATACTACTACCCTGTTAATATTAATTATATATTATAATATTTTTAATAAGATTATTATTTTAAAAATTATAAAAACAATGAAACCGCATAACATAATAATCAAAATAGTAGTAAAATTTCTGTAAAAGTGGTAATGATAAATGGTGATGAATCTAATAGGTTTATCAAAACATCAAAATGAAAAATGAAGAAAACTGCAAGCTTAGAAAAACTAAAGTAGTATTATATTTCACTAATTATAATTCCTAATTCTATTAAATTTCTTTGACAGTTTTAGTCCTTTACTTGCTTATAAGAATTTAGAATATAATGAAAATTTTAAAATTATTAGACAAGAATAGAAAAGTGGCTCTTTTAAAAAAGTGACTCTTTTAAAGTAAAATACTCATCTAATTGTAAGTACAAACTCTAAAATATTGTAAAAAATATTGCTAATTACATATTACATATACTAAATATATAAGCACTAATAATATACTAAATGTTATCCTTATGTAATTGGTTTCGATATATATCTTGTTGGTCAGATTCTCCTGGTACGTGTATCCTGATCACATGGCTCAAATGTCCCAACTGATGTATTACATGATAGTATCGATATGTGGTGATCGGTTTCCCGACATGAACGTCATGGCCAATTTCTTAATTATGACCCGGAAATCCTATCGTGACAATGCGTATCATAACTATGAGCATGCATTTAACGTTACACACTGTATGTATGCGATACTTTTGCGGAATTCGGAAATATTTACGGATCTTGAGGTAAGAGAATAATTATTTTATAGAAAAATATTCTGAATTTAATGAACTGATAAGATAATTTTATAACATCATTCCATATATATATATATATATATATATATATATATATATATATATATATATATATGATTTAGTAGTTAATTTTGATGTTGAAATATATGAGTGAGTTCTTGAGGGCGATACATCAAACAAAGAAAAATTTCTTTGTTTGATGTATCGCCCTCAAGAACTCACTCATATATATATATATATATATATATATATATATATATATATATATAATAAACCGCATGATGTATTCCAATATATTCGTTTTCTTATAAAGAACTCGGTACAAACCATTATATTTAGCAGAGCATTGAAATACAAAATTCCGTTGTACTGTACTATTATAAAACTTTTCCGAATTATTTATAAGTTTATTATTGGAAAAAATTGACATTTTTCGGTCTGTTTTTTTTTAATGCAAATGTAGCATGTGGGAAAGTACAATTTATTCTGCGGATTAACCTTTAATAATAAAGGGTATGGGCGTGTTTCCATACAAAATCGGCCCCAATCTGCCATATGGATGATTTTGATACCATTTTATAAGTATTTTCGAGAAAATTCAAAATACCAAATTTCAAATCCGTAGGTCATCATTTGGCCGAGATATCAGTGAAAACATGTGGTCCTTTTTTTCACACTCACCTTTTGTCGGAAATATCAGATATATCGAAAAAGTGTTAACGTCATTCTATTTATACTGATCTTGTCTATGTTGTTCATGACAAATAATGTGAAAAAATTATTTGTTAGTGTGTGCAAGGGTGAAAATGATTTTTCATTTTCCATTCCAAGAACCAGTGCGGCTCTTTGGACTACTTTTAAATTAGCATCATTCGAAAGCCTGTACATTTTTCTTCTGTTATTCAAAAATTCATTTAAATGTAGGTGGAACTTCGTGGTGAAAAGTTGGAAAAACTTAAGCTAGTACACGCGCTAGTGAACCCATATAAAGTCGCTTTGCAAGAGCGACGAGCGAACATAAGGCTAGTCGTTATCGCACGTCTCGACAAATACAGTATATACTTATGGAGATATTTATTTGAAACCAAAATTTAATTATATCTAGTATATATAAGTATATTCATTAGCCATAATAAAAAATCCAACGCGACGAATAAAAACAATAATTATTATTGATTATATTCATTCGCCGTATAAGCTTGTGACTAATATATTTTAATGTATGAAAAACTTAAGATTTCAATAGTTTTTATATATTTACATCGTAATAAGAGATTATTAAACAATTTTAATATTTTATATATATACATATTATTTATGTCTATTTCATACCACATTTATGTATAAAAATATCTTTAAATATCTCTTTAATCTCTTTCGTCTTCGATTTATTTATAATATATATATATATATATATATATATATATATATATATATATATTTGAAGTTATTGCCATCACTGGTCATCTTGATTTCGATCAGAAGTTTATTATATATTTAAGAAAAAGTCTCAACTGTTGAAAACTCGTGGCAATTATTTTTACTATGAACCTGCGAATGTTTATGGTTACGGATGGACAGTTTGAAAAAACTAAAATTGTCACATTTTGGCCAAAACTCATAGTTGCATTTAAAAACTCATAATTTCCAAACAATTTGAGATTTTTTTTAGGTCCATTCAATACTGCCACCCCCGTTCTGGTTTATCCTGCATATGTGTGTGCATTACTAATTTATCTTCTAATCGCTCATCATAATAGTTGATATTACATTTTACCAAAATACTATTCACAGGCTATGGGTCTAATATTTGCTGCTATATGCCATGATGCTGATCATCGAGGATTTACAAATAGTTACATGCAATTATCAAATGATCCACTATATCAGTTGTACGGTGAAGCCACAATGGAACACCATCACGTATTCATTGCCATGATTATAATAGATGTGAGTTTCAATTTAATTTGACTTTATGCTCAGCAAACGTAGATATAATAATATAGCGGTAGAAAATTGGTTTTCCATAAAAACTTTAACACATCATATATCACAGATCATTCTCGAAGGAAATGATCAATTTTAATACATTGTATGCATCAATATATATGCACTTTTAACGTAAATAAAATTACTACACTTGCAAATATATGTCGGCGGCATCCGAATGGAAAAGGTTAAATTATAAATAATTTTAATGAGAAATGTATAATATAACATTATCATACGTTTGCTAGTTAAATAGTATTTAATATATACAATATAAAATGTACAAACCAAAAAATTTATGTAAACTAGGTATAACTAACACCTAGTTCAATAACTTTGCCTCAAAGCTATTTGCAAAAAACTGCCCAATATTCACTTAAGCAGTAAGAATTAAGGCTTACAACTTGTAAAATTGTATCGATAAGTGTTTATACTTGTTTATCTATATGTAAACTAGTTGATATTGGTATTTTGCCTTGAGGCAAGTTACATGAACTTTCCGATATGTGTAATTAATCAAATTAATCAATAAAAATAAATTAATTCATGATTAAAAGTATTCCAAGTGGATTGCACATTATAACACATCATTTAAAACGAATGAATATGTTAACTCGGAGTAAGTTATAAAAGCAAATTTTCAAAAATTAATGGTTTTTATAATTGAACCAGTTTCCGTAGGACTTTAATGGTTTAGTACGTTTATTAAGACCATGTACTCTAAATCATCTAATTTTAATTCTAACAAACGTCAAAAAAACTACTAATTTTCTCAAACTTTGATGAATTTTTAAAATTAAACTACTTGTCGTAAAGCCGTAATATTTTAATAAGTTATATAAGACCATGATATATATCATCAAAAAAGGTTTTATAAAAATCGGCTCAAATTTTGTTTCAACAACGAATTACAAGAAAACTGGTCGATAGATTTTCACCTAAAACTAATCAGTATCATTCCCAACTAATATCTTTCAAACAGTTTTTGATTTTCTAAAATCGATTTGGTAGTATGAGCTTAAATCCGGACGAAACAACACTTTTTGCCAAATTTCAAAAGAACGGCTCGGCCGATCGTCGCACAAAACTGACAAGCGATAGTCCTCATTGAGACACATCAAATGGTTTTTAAATTTCTGAAATCGGTTCAGGTGTTTTTGAGCAAACGTCGATGAGAGGTCTAATTTTGACAAATGCCAATAAAACGATGCCAATTTTTGCCAACTTTGACGAATTTTTAAAGCTAAACGAGTTGTCGTAAGGTTGTAATATTTTAGTATGATCACAGTCTAGATGACTGTGGTATCTATTATTAAAAATAATAATAAAAATCCTTGAAAAAAAAATTTCAACAGTTTATTACAAGAGAATGGCCCAGCCGAACTCTACCAAGAACTCATAAGCACGATTCCCAACCAATATCTTTCAAACGGTTTTTGAATTTTCAAAATCGATTCAGAACTGCGGGCTAAAACGTGGATGAAGACAAAGAAACGGCTTGGCTGATTGTCGCGCAAAATTTATGAACGCTAGCCCTCATCGCGATAGATCGAATGGCTTTTAAATTTTTGAGATCGGTCCAGCCGTTTGTGAGAAAACGTCGATTTACGGCAAAAAATCTGTTCACACACACACATACACAAACACACACATACTTTTTCCAAATTTGGTCTCATTCGATTCAGAAGGGCTTGAAACGTCGAGAAAACATAAAATTATCGAATCGGATTTTTTGATAAAAACTTAAACTTCTCCTTCTGGATGTTAATAATAATCATAATAAATTTAATAAATTAAATGCATAAAATTTGCGAATAAAAGTAATACTAGAAAAGGAATAAAGTAGAATAAAAATAATAAATGGCAAATAACAATAAATATAACTAAATAACAATACTAGATATGATAAAATAATAAAATCGTTTACAAATGGTTATTTTTATTTATTTATTTTTTTTATATATTTATGAGTTCATTGGGAATTTTTCGTTTTTGGGTGTTTGTCAATTCATCTCTTATTGATTCCAAAAATTGATGGATTGTTATTATTAAACTACTTTTGTAAGTTTATTATATTTTACAATATTTTGAGTATAGTAAACTCTATCATAATGAATCACGGCAAAACATTTTCAACAGTTAAGTACAAGGAAACGGTTCTGCCGATCTTTAACAAAACCTAATTAGCAAATGATGTCTTCAAAACAGTTTTCAAACTTTTAAAATTAGGTCAGGATTTTTTGCGAAAACGTGGTGTTTTCACCACGTGTTTTTTTTGTAGTTTTTTGCAAGTTTTAAGGAAATAGCTTGGTCGATCGTCTCACGAACTTATCAACTCGAGTCTGTACCAAATAGAACTGCCGAAAGTTTCATCAAATGGTTTTAAAGTTTTGAAATCAGTGTAGATTTTTTTAATGAAACTAAAGGTCAAATTTTAGCTCACATCACTCATAAACGAACATCCTTTGTACAATTTGGGCGTCAAGCGATTGAAAATAACTTAAAACATAAAGAGACTATAAAAATTTTCTTCAGTTTTTTGGCAAAAACAAATTTCTACTTCAGAAAGTCAAAAATTAATGAACAATGAATAATTTAATGTATAAATGTGTTACTATGTTACTAATTATTATTAAATTAATACAAATATGTAAATATGAATTTTAATATTTTGATTTATTACAGATCAGTGGAATTTTCGATCAACTTCCCAAAGAACATTACGTATATTTGAAACAAGAAATAGCCGAAAACATACTATCGACCGACCTTCTATCCCACTTCCGTGCCCGAGCGCGCCTTCTGAACATTCTAAAAAGCGGGACATTCGAATTCGAGAATCAAAGTCACAAAGTGCTTTTGAAAAGTACGATGATGACATGCTGCGATCTGTCTGGTAATTCCAAGCCATATAAATCTGCTAAGAGAGTTTGCGAAAATCTTATGAAAGAATTTTTCAATCAGGTATGTAGATACAGAAATAATATAAAGTATCAACAGATTGAATTTTGTACTTTTTTCAATTCTTTTCTAATTTAACTAACAATGGCGGTTAGCGTTTTTTGTTTGTGATGTAATGCATAAATCTTTAATATTATGATACTATGTGTCATGTTAGTCCATTTAATATTAAATCATGAGATAAGCTATGGCTTTGGTATAAGCTTTCTGCGTTCATAATCAAAATTGTTTATTATATTAATTTTGTAAGTTACGTTTAATCCACACATATTGCGCTTTAGACTGGCTAAATAATTAAAATATAATATGTAGTCTAACTAATATTCCGATCTAATTTTAGTGCAAGTATTAAAAACATTTTCATTTTTAAATTTTTGTCTTCATTTGTGTTTTATTAAATATTTAATACTATAAATGTCTGGGTGATATGAAAATATAAATATTATTTGTGCTAAATAGTGTTCTTAAATTTAATATGAAACACAGTTGGGTTTGGATTATAACTAGTTAATTTTTTGTTTGTTTTTGTAAATATACTTATTTAGCTGGTTTAAACTTTCTTCTTAAAATGTTATAATTTTATTCCAACAAACTATCGAAATTCAAAAATAAACAGTCAGATAACGTAATGTATTGTATGACCCAATAATTCTTCAAGGTGATTTAGCATCATTGTGGAAATTGTAGATTTCCACTATCTGAATCTGAATCAGCTGAATCAGCTAGAAATTAAATCTGCACATAATGCTCATTAACTGCAGATTACCTCTATTAACCCAATACAAATACAAACACAATGAAAACTGATTTATCGAATAAATTCAGATCATAGAGCTTTAGCAATTATTAGATAGAAATTATTTAGATAATTTACTATTTTGTGCATTTCAGTATGGGTCTTTTACAATTATCATAAATATTTGGACCTGCCTTTGCCAAAAAATAATCAGCACATCTCCCTATCTATAGTAATAGAATGTTTTTTGAACTATTCAAATCGTTTGATCCGTGTACCTACCCGAAAACATGGACGAAAAATTGTATCCATGCATACACACACACATAATTTTTTTCTGAGGCATACCAAAATGTTCAGAAATCTTCAAAACGTGAAGAAATGTAAAAATTTTCAATTTCGATTTTTGGACGATAACTGGAAGGTAATAAAAAGGGAGGCGGTAATATAATAACCCAAATAAATATCCAAATGTGCCGACAACAATTTATTACTTCAAATTTCAAATTATAAAAAAATGAATAAAAAAGGTCCACAAACTAAAAAAAAATCTTGATGGTGGCCGATTCTCAGTCATAGTGATCACGATTATAAAATTTAGTAAAAATTAGTAAAACCGCTTTGGAGAAGTACGGCACCTAACATTGTGACATGGAAATTTTATATATTAGACATAATTTCTTTTTAACTTCGCGTAGGTAGTATAGTAATGGGCCAAAAATAAAAATGAAGTTCTTTGCATTTTTCGACGTTTTGAAGGTTTCTGAATATTTTGGCATACCTCAGAAAAAATGGATGTACTGTGTGTGTGTTTTCTGTGTCTGCATTTTTTCATTCACGCTTTCGGGCGCACGGATCAACCGATTTGAATGGTTCGACAAACATTCGATTCTTATTGTTAGGGAGATGTGACGATTAGTTTTTGGCAAAGGCAGGTCCAGCCGTTAAGGAGATAAAAAGCAAAGAGTGCAGAAAATAGAAATCGAGGTTTTGAGAGAACGGAGCATCCGATTTGAATGATTCAAAAAAACATTCAATTAGTAATGATTGGGAGAAACAGTTATTAGTTTCTGGCAAAGGCAGGCCCAGCCATTTCGAAGATATAGAGCTAAATATACAAAAAATGGCATTTTTGAGAGAAATAAGCATCCGAATTGAATGATTTTTGTCATTTTTTTTTTCTTTTTTTGTATATTAAAAATAATTCAGATTTCAATTTTAGTTCTGGCTAAAGTTTTAAAGCTCACTTATATACTTTAAATAAATAACTTTAACTTTGTAAATGTTACAGTATTTATAATAATCTATTTTAAAGCATTCAATATTTCTCGAACATTTCGTTACGGTACGGGAAGTTCCAACAATTTGCCTGAAAGCACGATGTCATACACCACTAGTTCAGTTTTTTATTGTCATATAAGTATTGTTCTGAAGATTTCGACTTACATATTTCACTACCAATTTTATTATAAAGTATTTCATATATATTACAATATTATATATTACGTATGTTACTTTTTAGAATTCGATTACTCTGTTAGATTTAATTTAGTTTTTAGTTATAAAATAAATAGAATATTTTCATATGAAATAATCCAATTTGTCAAAGGGTGATAACGAGAAAGAGATGGGTTTATCTCCACTTTCATTAATGGATCGTGATAAGCAGCACATGATACCGCAAGATCAGATACAGTTTATTAATGTTATTTGTCAACCGGCGAATGAATTACTGGCTGCAATTTTTCCCAACTGCGAAGCGCTCTATACTCTTGCAAAAGTGAGTGCATATTTCAATTTAAATGTACTTCTTTGTCTGAAACTAGAATATTATAAGAGATCAGATTTAATTGGTCTTCCCTTTTGTTATAAATTGCGACGAGGATTTTATAAATTGCATTTCTACTTGCATATTTTGCTACCAGACTTTGATGAAAAATGATTCAACGTCAGAAGTTGTACTTTTGATGTACATGTAAATACATTTATTACTTTTTATCTCGTTTAATATGAATGCACTTTATTCATAGAAAAAGAATAATAGCATTATTATGTGTAAAATTATGAATGAACTGTAGACAAAAAAATAAGTTATATATAATGATGTTAAGTTCAATAACTAAAATATTTAATTAATTATTAATTATAAATATTAAATATAAAAAATATACTATAAATTTAAACTCTAATGAACTCTAATGTTTTGTATTTTTGAATGAATATTTAGTAAATAAACATAAAGATCGAAAATTTAAATAATGAATTAGATAAGATTTAAGGGAGCTAGAAACTTGTTGTAACAGTTTGTTTGAAAATATCCTTACCTGAGATCCAATTATTATATTTTTACAAAATAACGAACGATAGGTGCTGTAACTATTTCTCTAACGAATCAAGTAAAAATAATTCAATAGATGTTGCTCATTATTTCACAAAATATCATTTTCTAGAGAAAGTTATTCCATTAAAATCATTCCATATCATGCTCAGTCACAACATATCATTTTTCAGAGAAAGTTCAGTGTTACATATTACCCCGTAGTAGCGACAAATGAACGACATATACCTCAGATACATTATACCTAGCTTTTATAAGAAAATCAACAAATTTCTAAAATGAGTTATACAATGATTTATATAGTGTCCTTTGTAAGAGAAATCCTTATCTTAAATCAACGCAAATTAAATTAATATGCGTACAATATATAGTGTCACCCATAACATATTTTACGAGTACTTTTTTTATAATTCAAGGTAACTATTTAATCAATTTAGCAATCACAGAAATTGTTACATAAGGCTTGATAAGTTTGAAACAAATTGAGATGCATGCAATTTAAAATTTGTCAATAATATTGCAAACTGAAGTTTCATGCTAGCACAATATTATATTATATGTAAAAAATGTCGGACCTGCACAGTTCCGTATATTGCGTCGTCTTGATGGACAGTAACTTTGACAAAATAATACAGGATAATTTACACGTTCAACCAAGACAAAAAATACTTTAACATCGTTTCAGATCCTATTGAAAAGCTGCTACTTACACCTGTTACAACAAGACCTTAGCTAGCCTATATTATTTATTCATAACTAATGTGAAATTATTTTATAACTTTTTCTCCTTGCTATTCAGAGATTTGCAAGAATCATGGCGAGAAGTAATACAACTACGAAATCATAGAGTATGGAAACCTGATGATTCGGTGCCTACCAGGAAAAAAGTAGCACTTAAAGGCGACGATACATTGTAATATTTATTTGCGATATAAATTGAATAATTTGTTTGAATTTTATTTTGATTTTGTTAAATAAATTATGATTTTCAACTATCTTTGACGTATAAAATTATTACAGATTTTAGACACAATTGTTAATATGTATCGAAAATTATAGGTGTTCCATGGCGTAGCGGTTGAACGCACCGCCTTGTGCGGGCACCCTGACATCGTGCAGTAGCGATGTCCATTTTCACTTAAAAATTTAGATCAAAAATATGTTTCCCACTGACAATAACCCATTTTGGGCACTGCGATGTAAAATGGTAATAGGAAACCTCTCACATCATTCTTCTCTGAATCGAGTTGTGGTTTAACACAGCTCACGGACCAGCCTATACTAGGGTAGTACTACCTATTATCATTACAAAATAAGCGATACCCAAAAAGCCTTATGATCAAGGTAAATTTTCATAATTACCCATATATTTAAGATCATATAGTGTAGTGTTTAAAATATTATATTAAATTCAATTATATTTCTTCACCATACGTTGTTGACATAGAACAATTAAAGAGTTTAATGAGGATCATTTATCATTCGCCTCGCATGTAACAGTTGCAAAACTATTTATGTCGGTTAAAATAGAGGTAAATAGATATATTACTATTATAAATCATTCTGGATATGTATGTATATTTGCTGACTAAAGTTGTCTCTATTTTGATAACAATTTCAAGTTTGCTTAAACACATGATTATGGGTTCAGTCTGTCATAGTAGTTGTTATACCTTTAAAGCATACTAAATTCTAAAAGATTCAACCTGTGTGTCCCAACCTTGTAATTTAAATAAGTTAAAATCTTTCTTAATTTTATGATAAGTTTTCCCAATTTTTTACTAATTTTTTTTGTGCTTTAAGACTACTTTATAGTAATTTATAAATCTGTACATATAAATGGTTTATAATAAAATTATGGTTTATATAATGAAATTATATAATTGAAAAATATATTACACTTCACAAAAATTTTTCAATAAGATGTAAAAATTTTAAAAGGCCATGAATAAAAATAGAGCTTTATCCTAGTTTTTGTGGATGTTTTAGGTTTATGAAGAGTCAAAACAATTACTGAATGTCCTAAGTGTGACAGATTGTAATTAAAATAAGAAAAAAAAAGGTTTATGCTCCATCTTCTTTGATTTAGGTTCATGATCCATCTTTTCCAACTTCATATTTTTATAAATTATATTCTTATATTCATTATTGTTACATTTTTAGGGAGGCGTGCATTAATCACGTGATCGACCTTTTTAAGGATTTTTAGACCCTCCTCCCCCTTGGTGATACGTGGTGATATTCAAAATTACCCCTCTCCCACACCAAACCGCACGTGTATTTTTAGTTACGGGAAAAAATGGTATTTTTTTTGTAAATTTTTGGATTTTTGAAAAAATTAAGATAAAAAATGAATACATGTAATATCTTACTATTCCCCTCCCTCCCCCACTTGGTATTTCGTGATTTTTTGTCAAACCCCTCTTCGCCTAAAAACATCATTTGATTGATAGACGACTTCTAATTATTATTGGGCATTTAATTTAACTATTTATAATTCGACTTTAATTTATTTGACAAAAAAAACATTTAGAACTTTGTTACTCCATTTAGATCAGTGAATTTCAAAGTCGTCTATATAGACTTGCTAGGCTACATGACAACTACCAAGGGGACCACCATAAGCAAAAAATAAAATTGTGGGGTCCACAAAATAAAAATGGGGTTTTACGTTAGTATATATATATATATATATATATATATATATAATATTATATATATATATATATATATATATATATATATTTACTTGAATTATCTATAATAAACTGCAGAATTTTATTTCCAAATGGTCCAGAAAAGTAAAAAAACTATTTCATAACAAAAAAAAGATGTAGACTGGACCTTACGAAATTGATGCCATAGGTCGATCGTTAAACATTTACTTTGCTCTTACTTTTTAGTTCTATTTTTAAATTCAATTAATAAATGTATAAACTCAACGTGTATTTTTTGTTCAAATGTTCACTAATAAGTACTATTTTAGTACAGTTATAAAAGGTAGTTATGGCAAAGCAAAAAGGGTCCACAGTACAAAAAAGTTTGGAAACCTTTGATTCAGATAGTCTGCAAGAAGCTACTATATTTTATAAAATAATTCTGATTTCTGATCACACTCTCTTTGATATAACTTAATCATATAGTTTAAACAATCCACGTAGTTGTAGTAATATTATATCACAGTATGTTCTGAGACAATTTAAGTTTGGAAACTACGTTACTTAACTCTGCCTTAAGTACGTGACAGTTCCCGTAACAAAACTAATACATGTTCTCACTAATGTCCGCAACGTGACATGTTTTTTCCATGCTAAGCTCGTCCAAGTTTCATTTGGAGAAAAAAATAGCCTTAAACGCTGGAGCAATTTCATACATTTAATATCAACAAAAAATGTACGTTTGTATATATACTAGCTGATCCCGTAAACGTTCTACATGTAAAATGCTTCTAAATAATTTTTAGAATAGCAAACCGACAAATTACCAACTTATTGTAAATATGTTTGAGTGGGATTAACATTGAGGGAATATAAAAATAATTATAAATTAAATTAAGAAAATTTAAGTTTTATTTTTACTATCATGAAAGATATTTTTGTTTAGAGGAGACTGGGTACTGTTGGTCACTTTTTTTAAGTAATGGTTTATTGCGGCTTCCATTGTCAGAAATGTGTAATACAAATCAACATAAGCACTTAAACTAGTGGTATATGGCATAGTGCCTTGAAGCAAATTACTGGAACTTCCCGTACGAGGAATATCACATGTTTTCAAATAGATTATTATAAAAAATCTAACTTTCATTATTCTTATTGCATAAAAAGTATATAAACAAAACTTATTCAATCTGATTTAAAATAAACGTTGTCAAATATTTTTAAGTATTATATAAACTGAACTCCAAAGTTAAAATAAATTATTTGAAGTTTGTAAGTTATGTTTAGAACTATAGCTAGAATTAGAATTAAAATCCGAATTATTTTGCAATAATTAAAACAAAAAATGAAAGAAAATTAAAAAAAAAATTAAATTAAAAAAAATTCTTTTCCCACTGCCATCTTTACCAACTGCCGTTTCGGAGATATAGAACTAACCTTTGTCAAAATCTTATTACCACTTCTACCCATCATTGCGGTTGATCCGTTTTCTTTAAAACTGACATTTTAACACTTTTTACTTCATATCTCTGAAGCCGCTGAACCTGTCTTAGTCAAAAACTAATCAGCACGTCTCCTCATCACTGGGAATCTAATGTTTTTTTGAACCATTCAAATCGGATAATCCGTACGCCCGAAATCATGGACGAAAAATTGTCTCCACATACACATACACATCCAGTTTTCTGAGGTATGCCAAAATGTTCAGAAACCTCTAAAACATAAAGATATGCAATAAATTTTGTCTTCGATTTTTGGCCCATTACTACAACTTAAATCCTAAGGGAAACAACTAAGCTTGATAATATATTATAACATAAATTTGTTTTTGAACATAGTTAACATAAAATCTTAATGTAATCTTTATATACTTGTATTAAATTTTCCTTTGCCTTTTTCTTATGTATTTGGTCTCAGTTAAGATTTTTCTTGATCTGTTTAATATTTATCCAAAAAGAAAAAGACCCACAGTACCCAAACACACATTTTTGAGAACAAATCATCGTCATGAGTAAGCTAAATTATTTACGCAAAAACTACTTGCTAGTAATTAAATACTATTGTTGAATTTCGAGCAAAATAATAAACAAGCGATACATATATTTTATACATATATTTTGTATACAGTATACAAATAGTTATATAAATAACAATTATTATTTAAAGACGTCGAAGCAGAACGCTTTACAGATCTTATTAATGCAAGGCGTTGCCTCATACTTCATTATTTCCTGTAGGACCCTATCTCAAAATCAGTATAGTTTAGCTGTTATGACGGCTGTCACTGCTGATTTCTGGCACAATCATACCCCGTCTCCCCTACAGAAAGTTGGTCATTGATATTATGTAAAGCCTGTAATAATATATTTTTGAAATTGGTGATTATTTTACTTAGAGTTGGTAAGGCTTATTTGCATATCAAATCATTGTGCAACTTTCTACAACTTCGAATATTTATAAATAAATATAACCGTGAAGTTATACATAAGTTTAGTAGTTGGTACTCACAATTAGAGTTACTGTCAAGTTACAGTTGTGTAGTTGGTACTAACTGTCTGTGCTCATACAACACCACGAAGCACGCCTTGTATGTGTGCGGACGCCATGAGGAAGGTTATTATAATATTGTTATATCAAACCCTTGCTCGTAGACCTGAATATATTAGAAATGTTTTTTTTTTCAAAGTGTTATGTACATTTTACTTTTTTGGATAAAGTGTGTCGTGATTTTTTTTGAAAATTAGTTTGACACAGTGTTTTGTGTATATGACTTGTTTTGTGAAGTGTTTCGTGAAGCATTGTACATCTTTTTGGATATTAGTTTGACATATAAGTTACAATGGTTCTAGAATCGCCATCGGCTAATGGCGCCAGTTGAGTTCGTAGACGTGAATATATATTACAAATGGTTTTAGCAATGTGTTTTGGATATCTTGTTTTGTGAAGTGTTTCTTAAGAAAAATCACATATTTTTTGGAAATTAGTTTGAGATATGAGTTGCAATTGTTATTGAATCGCCATCGGCTAATGGCGGCGTAGTGACATAGTGACATGACGGCATAGTGATACCAGTGATATTGTGGCATAGTGGTATAGTGGTATAGTGGTATAGTGGTATAGTGGTATAGTGGCATAGTAACATAGTGACATAGTGACATGGCGGCATGACGTCCAAATAATTTTTGGCAATTCGAGCTCTGTCCAGGTAATGCAATCCAATATATTATATTAATCAATTAATTTAGTATATCAAACTGTCG